ATATATATATATATATATATATATGGGTAAAACACATGAGTAATTTACATGAATAAGATACAAATTTTACCATATAAGAAGAATACAGCAATGATGAGGAAAGTGAATAGACTTTTTGAAATTTTGGATCGAAGCGTATGTTGGTTGCACCCACGCCCACCTTTATAAATAATATGCCAAAACCCTTTTCTTGTTATAATAACATGTAAATCATGCATTAAAAAGTTGTACGTATTTAATAATGTCCGTTTTTCGTAAAGAATATCAATCATTTGCTTCTCTTTAACTTTGTTCTTCACTTGATCACTTCATTTTAAAGATAAAGTGGCCCAAAATTCTTTTCTTACCCACCAATTCTCTCGTTTTTTTACTGATTTTATTTTATCATAAACTAGATAAAAAAAAAGTAAACAGTGGTTTTTTTGCCTGTGGTATTATGTTTTTGATTTTCGTTTTCATCTCTTAATTTTGTTTATTTCATAAAACTTGTGGTTCGATTATTGACACTTTTTTGTATATGTTGTGATCTCTACCGTTAAGGATCGTTATGCACCACTAGTTTAGTAGCATCACACACGGGTAAACATGTAATTTTACCATTTCTCTCTCTTTAATCATCTTTTTTTCATCTGTATCTAGATTTGCTTTTATCTGTTTTTGCACCAAGAAATAATCAAACTCCAACTGATTGTATTTTAATGAATTAACATTAGTTGTAATCTATACTATATTATAAAGCATTTCACAATAACTCTTAAAAACCATTTTTATGCATGAAATACTGTTTATTGATCTATATTAATTAAAATTCAATATTACAATTAAATTGTGCATTGAGTACAACTTATTAAAACTCTATGTTTGAATTGTATAACTAATTGCGGATAAACATAATTAAATATAGGATAAACATCTCATTTTAAAATATAAAAAATCKAAAATATAATTAGGATAATTATCGAGTTGTAACAAAATACTTAATTATTATCTTTATAAAAAATATATTAAAAACCTAAATTAAGTTACTTAAATTATAATAAAAAATTTAAATTAAAAAGTATATACGAATAAAAACTATTAAATAGTTAATTTGATACTAATATTAATATATTTTTATCAAAAATTTATATATTATTTAAAAATAAAAACATTATCGTTTTTTTTTTAACCACATAATATCAAAATTTTGCAACATGTATAAAAAAAATTAAACAAAACATTGTAATGAAAATATGTTTCTATGTATAACACGTTGTAGTTTAATATATTAGTTGGGATTATATTTTGAAATCAGTTTGTTGTGTAGTGGGGCCTACCATATACGTGTCTTATTGTTATTGATCCTTTAATTCGGTGGGTCAAAGATGTGTGTCCCACTTGTACTTTTGTCAACGTGGGAGGAATTGTAGTGAAAATACGAATCACTTGTGCAAATACATGAAAAAGTGGTCATTTCCTTAAATACATCATAATATTTTGGTCATTTATGTAATTTTTCCTTTATTTTTTCAGTAAATTTATGAGTTTTGTATTTTGATTAAAAGTGTTTTTTTATTTTATTTTAAATACATTTGTTTTTGGATTTATGATTTTTTTTAATGAAATTTACCTATAAAAAACCACGTGCGAAAACAAGAAAAACACTTTGACTGGATTTGATGGGCTTTTTTAGTTTTTAGGCTTTCACTTTAATGGGCTGTTTAGTTGGGTAACTATGATGGGCTTATTGTTTTCTTCCATGTTCCAACTTAGGACCTGTTTATCTAAACACTTACCCGGTAAGCATTTAGCGATAAATTCAACACTATCGTTTACTTACCGGATAAGATTTTATTTACTAAAACGCGTCGTATGCAAAAAATTATCTCGGTAAGCGCTAACCATGGTAAGAGTCCTCGTTCTCACTTACCGGGTAAGACTCTCGATTCTTGTCTTCGCTCTTACCGGGTAAGATTATTATCCCTTGCCATATTCATCCAGTAAAGTAAAGTGACTTGGTAAGCGCTTACCCGGGTAAGCGTTTGGTAAACGGCATCTTAGATTGTCAAAAATTCGTTCCGACTCAGGCCAAATATAAATTGGTCCCACCCAAACACTATTCTCGTAACCGGTTTTGATTTGGTCCCGATTAAAAACTCAAAGCCCGATTAAGGTACTTTGTAATTGGTTATGTATTTTTCTAAATTCGACTTTTTACATAATTCTTTTTTATTTTTTTAAAATACAAAAGTGTTATTCTAGTACACTTGAAAATTTGTAACTAGGTCAATTAAATACACTTAAAAAATACTTTCTTTGAGAGTATATGAGTCAAAATCACAAATTATAGCAAAAATTATGAACGCTTATGAGTTAATATCTTCCTCCATACACCTATGACTTGTGTATAGTTAATAGACGGTAAATGGGACAAAAAAATAGTCATATGGTTGTTGGGCATCAGAAATAAAACGATAATATTTTACAAAAATCGGGCCAGACCTACTTTTTTGACAAAAATGGTAACTGGTCACAAACCGGCTGTTCCAAAACGGTCCCAATCCTTTGCTGGTCTCGGGTCGGGCGGGCACATTTGGCCATCTCTACCTGGTATTTTACTTTCAACCATAATCCATACATACATTTAAATTTCTGAATAACTTAGTTTTACTAAAAAAAAAATATTGCTTGAATTAAATTTATAGCATTAGAAAAATATACATCAATCATTCATCATGCTTAATTATGGAACCGAAGGTATTTGATACATAATTGATGTAACCGAAAGGATTTTAAAGTTCGTCCCGACTCGAAGCAGACGAAAACGAAGGAAACTCGACTTTATTCCCGCAAGCTCGTCCATGAGGGAAAACCGGGCATTCGATGAAATTGGTAGCCGATGCATCGACACACTGGTACACTTGGTATACTTGGTGGTACCCTGAGGAGTCCACATTGCACTCTATATATGGGGCATAACCCACACCCTTTGTAATTGCATCTTTGATTTGCTCCATTTTGTGGAATTTTCCGTCAGCAGGTCTAATTCCTGCATTCATAATGAATACCATATTGATTTTAGTTTATGTGTTATACTTTATGCATTAATACTTGTACATTACTAATGGCATCTTTTTGAATTTTAGGGATTTGAGAAAAAGTTTGCTTTAACAGCTATGCTAAAATCTCTTTCAGCAAGGGAGAAAAATAGGGAGAGAACAGATAAATCTTTAAATTTGAAAGAAAATAAAAAATATAACATACATGTTGGAGATGCTATCGAGTTTCATTCACATGTTATACTTTATGTATTGGTACTTTACCTTATGCAAGATCAGTTGTACTTTTTTGTGATAGATATATATCATATATGTAGTTGTACTTTGTGCATAAATAGTTGTACCTGCATGCTCGAGAGCCCGAAGAAGGTTCGCCTTTTTCTTGAGAGAAAGTGCGGCCTCGAAGTAACCACGCTCGTCGAAAATAGATTCCGCACAAGTCCCGTGTTTCTCCCATTCGTGACGCCAAAATTTCAAGCCGTCGCCACTTGGGCACGCAAGTGTTGGCCATTCCTTTTGTAAGACGCTTTCAAGATCCGAAACCTATACGTATAGACATAATATGTGTCATATTTATTCCATTTTTTCAGTGACAGGCCGGTTTTTTCTTAAAGATCGTGGAAAGTTTCGGGATTTTGGTACCTTTGAATCATCAAACGAGTTGGTGGAATCGCAATTTGATGGATAGGTACCGTCGTTATAATTAGGCCAAAGCCCGTGGATGCTGAAATCTTCTGCTGGCTTCCCGGTTTTCGGGTAGCAACAACCCCGTCTTGAATCACAATAAGATGCTGGCCACTGTAAATCATCAAATATGCAAATTTAGTTGATATATCGTATTAAAGTTAGGTTCACGTGAGACAATATTGTTTTCGTGAGAACACAAAATAACACTAAAGCTTCATAACAAAACATTATGAAGGTACAAAAAATACTAAATCTTCACAGTGTTTTACCATGAATGTTCAGTGTTATTTATGTGGTTTTACTGGTCTCAAGAAAGCAGTTTATTCACACGATCCCAAGTGTATTGTATTATGCGAAACCGAAACATCTAATAATTAATGCGATAGTTAGATGTTGAAATTTGATCACGCATAGCAACCCACATATAGCATATACGACAGGCGATTGTCGCTAAAAGGTCCTAATATTTTGGGCATGAAACTAGACAACAATCGGTTATTAGCAACGAGGAAAGTGTCGCTAAAGTATAACCAATTTATCGGCTACAAAATATCTGCACAACCATATTTAGCAACAGAGTTGGGAACTATTTGTCGCCATGAATAACTTCATGTTTATCGCGACGAGCAACACATCTCCATTTTAGCATTTACATTGAAGTAGTTGTAAATTTCCGTCACACCGTGTGTATATACATACATTAAAGTAGTTGTTAAAAACATTGTGACGGTTGGCAAGCGTCGCGAAAAAGAAAAGGTAATGAAAACATACCTGTTGAACAAAGTAAAAGAAATCAAAATCTTTAGCAACGGTTAGAATTGTAACACATTGTATGACCAAAAATATGATCAAAAATCCCTTCCCATTCAATTTCATCTCTCTCTCTCTCTCTCTAGATTTAGTTGTAGTTGAAAGAAGACTTGGATGGGATGTACAAAATAAGATGTTTCTTGATATATATATATATATATATATATATAGAGAGAGAGAGAGAGAGAGAGAGAGAGAATATGCCTTACAAGCATTCTCTTATCCTAACGTTGCTTGTTGATATTGGAGATTGCTTCAAATATATGTGTCCTACATATACTGATATACATTGGTATCATGTGAAACCAGACTGTATTCGTGAGATTTTTGTTGAAGTCTTAAATTGGCTAGACTTGGATCAGGAGAAGTTCTCCTGTAAATATGTTGGAACCTCTCATTTCTCCTCAAGAACTCTTTTAGAGAGTGATGTGAGGGTTCCACATAGAGAGTGTTTTGTTGTAAAGTTTCGGTGTTATTTTGTGGTTTTATAGGTCTCACGTAAACCCAACCCTATATACAAATATGTAATATATGTATATGTATATGTATTCAACAAGTAATAAAGATACTCATTATGAATAAAAGTATTAAAGTATGTCCATTCACAATTGTTTTGGATGTCAACGTTTCTTTTAAGATAGGGTAATCAAGGTGTATGTTTATGTGACAAAAGCAAAGGCCAAAAGATGGTGAGGTACGTTGCGTACACTCGTTTAGAATTAATAATTACATGAAAGTGACACTTTCCTAATTGGGAAACAATTCATTATTGTTTTAAATTTATTAATTTCTCGTATACTTTTTATTTATTTTATCATTTTTTTCTTAGCCGTTAAACAGGACTTGATAGCAACGGTTTTCTAGAAGCCTTCAACAACAATTTTCATGTGAATAACCATATATATTCGCTCGTGCCAATAACAAATTAACGGCCTCGTTTGACATATCAAAACCAAAAAGGAATGTGATCATTGGCAAGTCGGGAGACAACTAAGGAACCATACGCCGAACGGGCATCTACTTGTGAACTAGGCCACAGGCTAGACGGTCGATGGTTGGATTGGTTACACGTGAAGGAGGGAAGGTCAAAAATGAAGAACGTCATGTGGGTGAAGGGGTGGGGGCCGTTTAGGTACATAACTTCAATAATAATTAAATCTAAAACGAGTTATTGATTTTCATTAAAATCTCATTTAAGTTTATATACTTAAGAACGCAACAGCCGAAGGGGATATGAGGACTTAGGTGAGGGCATTTAAGTGGTTGTACATTATGTATGACATATTTGTACATTTAAAAAAATAATAAAAATATGCCCTAAGGGGCATATGACCTCACTTACGGGTGTTCTTAACGGTCGTTAAAAAAATGTAAAATTGATATGGATGTATTTAGCGAAATCTGAGGGACGAGAAATAGAGATTTAGTAAACCACAGGGACGAAAAATGTATCTCACTCTAAACCCATATAAGACCATAACTAAGAGCTTGCTTATTAGCAGTTTAACGAGACTCACAACTTATTTGGTCAGTTATATATGACTGGTTAATATTGACTTAATAATAACCAAGCTTCTAGGAAGTAGCTTTATGTAAAAAACCAAATTTTTTCAAACCTGTCACTCCCAACTAAAAAACATGTCTTTTTATGTATGAAAAAAAACCTTTTAAACAAAAGAATTCTCAATTTATAGAGACAGACTAATCCATACAGAGTACAAACAACTTTATCCATACATGACTTAATGAAAATCAACCAAATGACCCTTAAATTTCCTAATAACTAGCTACTTTTTAGAAACAACACTTTATATACACAATTCATTTCAAATGTTAGATGAATACCACAAATGATCCCTTGACCACTGTTAGTGTTCTATGATCCAACATGAATGGTATATAAATTCTCATCCTCATTCGCTATCTAATCAGCAAGGTGGCGGCAGCGGCAGGTGGCGGCCGCAAGAGGCGGCAAAGACGATCAATTATGTGTTGGTGGTCGAGGTTTAGGAGGTATGTATAGAGAATCACCAGAGTCGATTGGGGTATGCATAAGCGGATTCCACCTATCGAATATTATTCTTCCACCTCTACCAATCCTACCATGAGAGTTATACGAGCGTGATGATGTCGCACTAGCGGTTGGTGGTACAATCCCTGCAGCGGCCAACTTTGCTGCATCCAGAGGCTTCGTGAAAAGTAGTACCGGCTCAAGTGGGTCCTGCAGAAATAACGGAACTTGAAAAATTAGAAGTTATTTCGTCGTTAGTTTGGGGAAGCACCAATTCAAGTTAGAGTATCGGCATGTATAGCGGGTGTGAACTGCATCCAATCCTCCAATGTGTCGGATGTGTTGTCGGATTTGGATAGTAAAGCCAACTCCGTAACAACAAAAAAGAAAAAGTTTTTGTTTTGCAAGCCAGACATTTTCACAAAAACAGTCTTTTTAGTTTTTATCCCTTGGGGGTAGAGACAAGATCTCTGCATACATCCCTACCCTTCTACCCCGACCCTATCTCTGCGTGCGATATATTGGAATAGTTTTTATTTTCTTCTTATAAAGGGGGCGGCTTCCTTCAACATTTAAAACTATAGCAACAAGGATAGATGTAGGCAAATTGTTGAACCGCATAAATACCATATTCAACCATTTCTGGGAAATTAACAAAAGTAGCCATTTTGGCCGACCAAATTCATCTCTTAGCCATTTCTCTCTCACATTTTCAACAAAATCACTACCCTATGCAAGTAATCATTCCTGAACTTGAAGATGGGGCATTTTTCTAAAAAAACTCAACTTAAGTGCCACTAAAGTTCCAAAGGTCAAAAGTGCCTGATTGGTTTGAGCTTGGGCCCCAAAGGTCAAAGTACCTGGAGGTCCCAGGTTCAAATCCAAGGAGGAATAAAAATCCCCTTGTGGGCTGTGGCCACAGAGGTTCAAATGCAGTGACTCAGGGCTACCCACAAAGCAGGTGGTCGTCCTAGGATTAGTCGGCTCGCATAGCGGGTTGGATATCCAGATTAATCAAAAAAAAAGTTCCAAACTTGCGAAGGAGGGCAAGCAACTTGCGGAGGTCTCAACATATTTACTTTCGTAGGTGCTCATCTTAATTTTTCATTTCCGGGAAGTTTGGGCATGTGCCATTTTATTAATGAGCCATATGATTCAAAACTCAAGATTATCTTCTTCTTCTTTTTGAAAAATTGGCCCCTCCGCAAGTTGCAACCCAGGCACTTGAGAAAGTAGTATTTTTTGGTGAGTGGGAGAGGAGTGGCTAAGAGGTGAATTGTTTCGTGGGAAATGACTATTTCAGTCAATTTCCCACTATTGTTCCATAGCAGCATTCAAGTAATGCCCTTTGATTTCACCTGATATCAAATGGGCTACATCAAACTCGCAATCTATGTCTTATTTCTTTTTAAATGATTGTGATTACTAGTCTATCTATGTACATTATCTCGTTTGTCACAATATACACACATGCGCCACGCCCAAATTTTGGTATTATTAAGAGCAAAATGCAACAAGTTTGGTTTAGTTCCTCTTTAGTGTAACGAAGAATTTATTTTCTCAATTGATGTAACAAAATTTCAAATTTTCCTTCTTGTATCAATTTTAACCGCTAGCCCATTGATCTTGTAACATTTGATCACGTAAGTAACCGTTAACAAAAGGTTTACAAAATACTTGAGAAAGGGTTATGGCCAAGTAGATGATAAACTTGACATCCACATCATCAATTGTTACAAGATTAATAGATTATCGGTCAAAATGGGTAAAAATGAGGAATTTTTGAGATTTTTGTTACATTAGTTGAGAGAGAGAATTCTTTGTTACAATGAATTGGAACTATAGGCTTGTTTGTTAACGGCTCAAAAAGCTTAATGGGACTCACAGCTTGTTCGATCAGCTATACATGACTGTTTGGTAGTGGCTTAATGATATAGAAAGTGGGTTTTTTGGTAAGCTTCTAGGGGGAGTTTTATGTAGAAAGCCAAGTTTTTCCGAACCTACCCCTCCCAATTAGAAAACATGCTCCCTCAATCTATGAAAAAACCGTACCAAACAAAACCCTCCCAATCTATACGGACAAAGTAATTCACACAGTCATCGTTATCCATATACGACTTAATGAAAACCCAACCAAACAGCCCCTAAGGCAAACATCGTTGAATTTTGATACATTTTGCCCATTTTTATGCCAAACCTAAGAACCCATTGGCATGCTTCCTAGATGCCGCTAGATTATCATCTTAATCACAATATTTTCCCCTAAATTCATCATCTTAAAAATGGATATGCAAACAAATATGAGATGTAGTAGCAATAAGAATGTGAAATAAAGAGGTTATCAGATTTACCAATTTATGGAGCCAAGTATATGGGAGAGGCCGACGTCTGAACTCTCGTTTCACGCCACCCCCAGAGGGCATTACGAATCTCGAGTCCATCAAAGCCTGATTCTGTACAGTATAAGGCTGAGGAGCTACACGATTGTGTTGGATATCATCTGAATCTACAAATTCGTCCTCGCTTGAAGCAAACTTGGACAAGAAAGATGGCAGTCCTGGTAGGGCTAAACTGTCTTCAAGAAGCTCTGATTCATTCTGAATATCCAGAATGTGACGAATCAGAATCCATTAATTACACTCCAAAGTTCCATGCAAATCAGTAACGGAAGTGCATTACGATGGTTTACCTTGTACTTCATTTGGATCCTTTGAAGGGTGACTTCACTCTCGATGACTTCTCTCTTTTTCTCTTCTCTCTGTACCAGATGATGTTAGACTCGTGAGTATTAGTAGTGAAAACCAATAAAACAACAAAAAATAAATGTTAGTAGAGAGATAATAGTGATACCTTGATTAGAGCATCGAGCAAGTTCTTCGCTTGCTCAAGGTTGCGTCTAACCTGAAGATGGCAGATTAAAGTACAACGTAAGAACATAGAGCACATTAACATGAAAGCATGGCATGAAGGTACATGGGTAAGGGAGATGAAGTTAGATGTAGGTATATACACACACACACACATATATACATACAGACGAAGGTTCAGGAAAAACCCCCCAAAATGTGAAAAACTGAGGAACACCTTGGTAACCATGTATCTGGACAATATGCATATGTGCATAATTGCATATAAGAAATTGAAGTTGTTTCTTGGTTTTATGCACATGTGTATACAAGAAAAATTACTTACAAATTATTTGTATGCACATGTGTTACCGTTCAAATGAATAATTACCAGGGTGTTCCTTGGTTTTACGTTTTTTGCGGTTTTCCCGTGAACCTAACCCTATATATATATGTGTGTGTATATATATAGGGAAGGGTTCAAACGAGAACACTTCCATTTTACTAAAACACAAGAACACCCTTTTACTATAGTGAATCACGTGATGCTATAGTCCATCACATGTGATAATGAATCAGATGCGAGCAACCTTTGGCGCAACCCTAGATCACACGCCAAGTAGCGAGTACACCACCAGAGTATTATCACTACATGTGATATTCAATGGTAAAAGAGTGTTCTCGCGTTTTCRTAAAATGAAGGTGTTCTTGTTTGAACATCCACCTATATATGTATGTATGTGTGTGTATAAGAAATAGAGTGAATGCTCTATCTTAAAACTCATAATATCAACCTAGAAAAAGAACAGAAAATTTAGTCACCTACGATATCCTAATAGACATTTGAAGATGGTAAATTCAACAAGACCTATATGTCGACTGTGAGAATATGTGGAACCCCATTAGATTACTCTCTAAAAGAGCCCTTGAGAAGAGAAGGGGGTTCCAACATGTATTGAAGAGAGTGTCCGAGACTAGCCGATGTGGGACTCTTAACATGCCCCCTCCAACTGAGTGTCGAGTCCCGGGCAAAGATGTCCCATATGGTAGACCTTGGCTCTGATCCCATGTGAGAATATATGAAACCCCATCAGATTAATCTCCAAAAGAGCTCGTATAAAGAGCTGAGAGGTTTCTATATATATACATTTTTTTATGTTTTGTGTCTAGACGATGTGGGACTCTAACACACAACAAGCGCCATGCAAACTATAACGGACAATTACAGAAAAGATGAAGGATGCCACAGGTGTCTGTTTTGTGTATTAATCTGTATTACAAAAAGATGCGAAATTATGAACCACATAAACATATGAACATGGATCAAGAATCATAAGCCATAAGGTGGTTGCAGTGCTTACTTGACGAAGCTTTTCAAATGACTGCACATTGTTTTCCCGTCTTTGCATCTGAACATGAAAAAACAAAAGACCAGATGCAGACAGATCAATTCTAGTAAGTATCAAGATAGTACACTCTGATCATCAAAGGGAAAGGTTCAAACCAAGAATGAGCACGTTAGGCACTTACTCTTCTCGTGTGAAGTCTGTGAGCTTTTTCCCTTGGTCTAAATACATTGTATGGATTGGTATCGTTGACTGGTGGAGGAGGCTGTAGCCCAAATTAACAAGATGAACATTAACTTCCCCAAAGAGGGAGTGGGAGAGAGTGCCAGCAGATTTGATGCAGTTCAAAAAACAAAATGACAAATAGATTTCCGTGGATCAGAAAGTTAACAAACTGTGTCTTTATGTGCATGAATTAGCAAAACATGTCCTTTTAGATATCCAAAAGCTAAACCCTTGTGTTAAGGGTAATTTTATAGTTGATAATCGCTCTGATCTGATATGCATATGGATGCCTGTGGACACTGGACATTCAAAAGAATTGTCGGTGAGAAAACTTTGAAGCATCTAGGCATGTGATTACTCTAGTAAGAAAGTAGAATCTCTTAAGGATGAAAAACGGAAAGATGATAACCTTGGTCTAAACTTATGCAACTAAAATGAGAACGCTTCTTTAACAATAATCAAAAACTAACCTGCAAACGGCGCAAAACAGGTTTTTGCCATCTTTCCCGCTGACAGAAAAAAGAAAAGGAAAGACAAAAGTACGCATTATTGATTATACCATCATAACGGAAATGGAAAAATCAAGGTTATTTTCACCTCAAGAATAATGATTTTTCCTAGCCACTATACTATGAGTAACAATAACAAAATAGAGCATTGTTCAAAATAAAGAAAAGGTTTGGGGAATCTGGATGCATGCAAGAAAAGCAGCATTTAACTCCTGCAATAACAAAGCAACCACATGCACGAGAACGGATATCACTAAATTTACAGGTGCGCAGATAAACAATAATAAGACCCTTCTAACACACTCGCTCACTCTTCAGGATATGCTTCTCATTCAGGGAAGGTTTTTATGGAATATTGATGAAGGATGTACAAAAGAAAAACTGGTAGGAAAATAGAAACTGGAAGTTTAATAGCTTACAGACATCAGATTGGTTACTAAAAGACTCGCTATTGGATCTAAAAGATATTGAATATTTGATTGAGATGCATCAAAAACAGATACATTCTAAAACCACGAGTATTCATGATAATCCAAAAGAATACATATTTTCCACCTAAAAAGTACGCAGGGTCAACCAGTACTTATCAATTCTTTGGTAAATAGAAATGCCATACAAATTTTCCAACAAACACTATCGTATGACATACACCAAAAGTTTGTCAAAATCTTAACACGGAGGTTGGTTATCTTTTACTATTATGTGCTACCAAAAAGGTGCTTACCTTTTCTTTCCAGTAATTGTAGATGGATTGGAACACTCCATATTTTACGTTCAGAGCTTGAAGTGCCTAATAAGTTGACAAAATAAGATATAATCAACATCTATGTTCCTCCAAGAATGAATAAAAGAAAATTTGCAGAGTTACAGATAAAAGTGTCAGCAGGAGCAGAATGCTTCAATATGTGACTCTCCAGAAAAAGTAAACTTTGTTTGCAACAACCCTGAATAAGATACACCAAAGAGCTAGTTGCAACTAGCAAATGATGTATAACTGAAGATATCAGCATAGTAACTTTGGATGTGAAAATGAAAGCCATCGCCATACACCTAGTATATCCATAAAAGGTAGCCCTGGTAATTACAAGCAATCAATGACATCTTCATGTAAGCAACTAGGAATAATTCTAACCTCAGCGGCAGCATCAAATGTCAAAAGTACAGGTATAGGTGCGCCAAGTGTAGGAGTTATAACTCCTGCTCTTTCTCGAGTTTTATGATCTAATACCTCCAACTTAAAGAAAATAGTTTCAAACCTGCCCCAATGATCAAATTAGCATGAGAAAGGTAGTGGATTTTTCATTGGTATGAATCTCCTTAAGATTGGTATGAGAAAACCTTGCACATGACCTTAGACCACTTAATTAAGACTTGAACTTACATTTCAGCTGGAAGAATCTTTCTTTCCCTGTTGAACTCCTCAAGCCAATCTTCATCCTCATTGTCGAGATCATACTCAACAAACTCTCCAATCTCAGCCCGCACTGCAATTATTCTTATATTATTAATAAAAAAATATCAATCAAGTTCTAAAATCAACAGTCCCAGTCGTTCACACACCTCCCCTTGCACGAAGATAAGATGTCGGTTGATTGAAAGTGGGGGAGTAATCTCTTTCATATGTATCCACAATAACATATTCAGGAGTAGGTATCTCAGAAACCGTTTTCTTACTAGCAACTTGATGTACCTACAGATTAGATAAATACAGATTCTCAACATGAGTCCAGCAATTTTTAGGTACTGCAGAATATCACATGCTCACTCCTTGACTAAGCAAGATGTTGATACTATTTAAACAATGTCTAGATCAAGCAATTCAATTATGGGGGTACCAGATAACAAAGCTCTACCATCCAAACCCCCCTGGTCTTTCTTTTTCTGCCTCAACTTTTGTCAAGCATAGATTAAAAGCATGGCAGCTTTACATCTTATCAACCATTCTTATTATATAGTGATGCACAATCATTTGTATAAGACAACATACATACAAACAAACATACACAGTTCTGTTGGATTAGACACTCTGTGATAAACTCATACAAGCAAGAGAGGAAGAAAGAACCTAATGACAAGCCATGCTGATGTTTTTTGCTATATATTTGTTCCTGGTAAAGTGGAACTTCTTTTTCCATGCTATTTTTGCTAATCTTCATTTAGACCATCTATGGAGCCTGGGTAAATATTTTACACTGCAGGCACATATTTTCTGTTATCTTTCATGAAGTACTTACTGAACATTAGAAACTCCAGTAGGAATGGTATATGTCCTTAGGGTGTTAACATAAAGAGTTTAGAAAAAGCAAAAGGTTGCAAGTGGGCAGCCAGTTTTGAAGCCAGAAATCTATTTTGCGGCTTATTTTGAAGACTTTAAACATGCATCTTTTTAATCTTTTGCACTTTGTTGATCAATTCATCCTAATTTGAGTTGTCCTTGTAATTCTTGACACCATTGACAAAATACATAGGTCAACTCTTGCTGATAGATGTAGAGATTAAATTTATTTTAAATCTGCCACGGATCACCGTAAAGGATTAACACATTTTTTGGCATTTCTTGGTGATACTATCTGAAGCACGTAGCCACTGTGACAAAGTAATGCCCATCAGATATTTTAAATCAAATGCATTAAATAATTGGTAAGCTTTATAGCATCATATGGCAAATACAATAGTAACTGGTTGTAAAAATTCTAAAAAGGGAGCAAACATATTTGTTGCTACCAGTCAAAGAGTCTGGCACCGAAGGCCATTGAGAAGAGTCGATTCTTTTTTTTGTAAAACAACTCTATGCCATTCAATGTAGACATTATTTCAGGCTCCATATACCGTTGCTCTGTGGTGAATTTTTGCATCTTAGTATCACTCTGAGGTTCTATCATAAGATTTGAATCTAATATCCCGCAGCAAGGTAGAGCCCCATGTGCCCTGAGTTTGACATACCAACAGCACCAGGTAACCCCAAACCCCCAAGAACCTAGTCAATCATCAAAGTCTGGTAGCATGGCTTTCTCTTAAAAAGGTGCCAAACAATCAATATTGGATAGATAGACCAAAGGGCATTTGGCCCAGTGGCATCTGGTATCCCAACCTTTCTAGAGGTCAAGGGTTCCAACCTCACCAAATGTGAGACATGTGTGTGACTTTCAATCGGTATATAAATTGTATATACTTAAAAAAAATAGATAGATAGACAATTCATGGACATGAGCGCTTAATGAGATTTACTGGGATAACTAGCCAACTAGGTCCATGGCAACGAGTACTGCCTAAACCACTTCTTGTGAAACAGCATACATCTTTGGGAACTAATTTGTAGTGGACACGGGGAAAAATGAAGATCCAAATGAACAAGACAAGAATCAATGTAAAACCAAAATGCAAGCTGAACCTGTGTCTCGTTATCAGCTTCAGCCACAAGACGAAGCATCTTAGTCCGGGTAGAAGTTGGAGTATCGTCATCTTCAAAATCTTTGATCGATTTCAATATAGGTAACTTCTTGTGAAAATCTAGAGGACGTGGCCTAAACGAAAGTCTACTCATATCAGCAGCCCATCTCCAAATTAATATCAACTATCTGCTTCCTCAGTTCTCTGCTTTCACTTCACTATAAACAACCATATACTACACATCATTCATTTATAAAAAAGCAAGTATGCTATTTATTCTTTCAATGTCAAACCTCACACTGTGCAAAACTGGAAATGCAAATTACAACGAATCTTTTTTGCAATTTTTTCTATAGTTTTATCTATTTGCAATTTTATCACGTATGATCGTTTGAAAAACAACTTTTTAAGCATCCTAAACCAAAGAGCAATTCCTTCAACAGAGGAGGCAATGATCATCATTCCAATTCAACTTTTACATATCAAACAAACCCTCAGAATTAAAAGATATTCCATTTACACGACGCTTCTATCCAGTGGCATTTGATTATAGAAATTTAAGCAAGTAACAAGCATTGAAAGCTTTTGGAAAGTAAAAAATTAGCAAAAATTTGGAAAAGTTTAATTTTTGCCCTAATTTTTTACAAGTGCAGTAACACAATTTTGCCCTAGAGTCGGGAAAAGAATTAGCATTGAAGTAAGACATCATATATACCGGAGACTTCGACTCCGGTCAGAAGAAGTGCCAATTTCCGGTGGCTGGTGGTGGTTCGAGGGCTCTTTTCAATTTTCGTCGTCCGTCGTCGTGGCCTTCCGGTTCAGTTGCCTGAGAGTTTGGTTGAACGATTGACCCGACTCGAGTGAAGTCGGGCCGGGAATTTTATTCTGCTATAGGTCTAGCCGTTGTGATCCGGACCCGAATATTCCAGCTTGGAACAAAACAAAAAATTTGTAATTTGTTTGCGGGAACAAACAAAAAAAATGTTTTTTTAATATAAAACTAGTATCGGAATCGCACGTTGTGCAGTAGCATGAGTATTTTGATTAATAATTTGAATATTGTCTATATAAATATATTAGTTGTTAATAAATCATCAATAAATAATATTCAAATAATTCGAAAAGTTAAATAAAATATAAATATATACATATATATATATATATATACCCATTAAGCAAACTCCATGAATCGACACAAATGCACCAATCCATTTTCCACCTCATCATTGCAATGTTTTAAATTTTATAATTCTCATGGTGTCACCTCATCATCCCAAGGTTTTACTTTTATATATATAAAAATATAATATAATTAATTTTGCATTATAATTTCTACCATTTGGTTTGATTGGTTTTCAACCATGGTTATAAATTTTAAAGAAGGTCATCCAAATAAAGACAACCCTATGAAACAAACTTCATATTAGACACAAATGCATCCAATCCATCTTTCTTATACACTTCATATTGTTTAAAATTTTCAATTCTTCACCAATGTGAGATATCTCAAACTCAACCACAATTCACCAACACCTCAATACTCAATTCTCATGATGTCACTTCAATACTATTGGTTCTTCCTTTAATAACCCCATATTTGACACAAAAGCATCAAATCCACATTTCTTATACACTTCATATTGTTCAAAGTTTTAAATTATTCACCAATGTGAGATATCTCAAACTCAAACACAATTCATCAACAGCTCAATACTCTTGTTTCTTACTTTAATATGTATATAGATATAATATTATATATATATATATAGATATAATAATATTATATAATTAATTTTGCACTATAATTTTTATCATTTTGTTTGATTGGTTTCTAACCATGGTTATAAATTTCAAAGAGGGTCGTCCAAATAAAGACAACCCTATGATGCAAAACCCATATTTGACATAAATGCATCCAATCCATCTTTCTTATACACTTCATATTGTTCAAAGTTTTCAAATTTTCACCAATGTGGGATATCTCAAACTCAACCACAATTCACCAACACCTTAATACTCAATTCTCGTTATGTCACCTCAATACTCTTGGTTCTTCCCTTAATATATATATATATATATATATATATAAAGATATGATATTATATAATTAATTTTGCACTATAATTTCTACCATTTGGGGTTTGATTGGTTTCCAACCATGGTTATAAATTTCAAAGAAAGTCATCAAAAGAAAGACAACCCTATGAGGCAAACCCCATATTTGACACAAAGGCATCCAATCCACCTTTCTTATACACTTTATATTGTTCAAAATTTTCAATTATTTACCAAAGTGGGATATCATAAACTCAACCACAATTCACCAACACTTCAATACTAAATTCTCATGATGTCACCTTAATACTCTTGGTTCTTCCTTTAATATATATATATATATTATATCATTTCCAGTGTTTTTTCGTTAACATGGATATCCAACTGTTTTACGGGAGTCCGGAATCACTGCATTTGAACCTCTGTGACAACGAGGGGATTTTTATTTCTCCTTTAATTTGAATCTAAAACATCCAAATACTTTGACCTTTAGGGTACGTTTGATAAACAAAATAAGATGGAACAGGACAGAACACATTTATTCCATATTTGGTGTGGCCCTTATGTGAGACTAACTATAGAGCAAGTATACGACCCTAAGTAGAACAGAAAATATTTTAAATATCTATCCTCTCTTAACCTTATACGCAACACACCCTTCTCCCCCTTCACAACGTCGCCTCCGTCGCTTCCACCATCTCCTTCATCGATCGGCGGCATATTTCAATCGACGTCGTTCTGGACAGAATCGTTTCCCTTCACAAAAGCGACGCCTCTCCTTCATCAATCGTTTAGAAGAACTTGACAGCACGAATCGTTTCATAGTCTGTCGATTCGACATTCTCCTTTCTCCATACTCTCAGGTAATCGATCTCTCTTCTCCTTCATAGTCCGAGTGTTGTTTCTACTCGATTTTGCGTAACTCGATTTAGAAGAACTCGACAGCACCCTTTCTCCATACCCTTATGTTTGCTGTTTCTACTCGATTTTGCATTCTGTATGCTATTTCTACTCGATTTTGCATTTTGTATGTTGTTTCTACTCGATTTTGCTACTAATTTATGTTTGCTGTTTTGGCCCTTTACTTTCTGTACTTATGCTGCCCTCGTCTGATAGAGCTACACATAATTGGGAGATCTCATAATCTGGGGCCAATGCATTTCTTTTACTATTCCACTATCAAACATACATTTTTATAACTATTCCACTATCAATATTCCACTATCAAGCTAGTGATTTATGTTTGCTGTTATTGTTTGCTATACTGATTTATGTTTGTTGTTTGCTATACTGATTTATGTAACATACATTGGTATTTTTAAATAGTATTTGTAAACATTTATATTGATTATTTAATGAAAAAACACTAAACAACTCACTGAGGGTAAATTGGTCATTTTAACTAGTTCTATCTTGTCCTGACAGGTCTTACCAAACGCTGAATAGCTGTCATGTCCTGTCCTGTCTGCGCACCAAACGCACCCTTAGAGTCTAAGTTCAAACCAACCAAGCACCATTCTTGTGGTTATATATGCTTGCATGAGATCTGTTATACTGCATATCTAACAATTATGTTATTTTATGATGCATTTCGTATTCTGATATGATATAATAGTTGTTTAGCGTTTGATAAGATATATTAAAACAAGAGAAGACTCGTGAAATAACCAATTTATCTTTGATGGGTTATTTATATATTTTTATTAATTTATTATTTATGTAATTTATTAAGTTATAATAAAATAAATAATTTTTAAAACAAAATAGGTTACAATAACTTTGAATGGAAAACAAAATACTGCCAAGAACTTCAAAGTCCCCCACGAATTGAATTTGATCTTCAATTCGGACTCCTAAAAAGACCCAATTCAAGGGTTGATTTCGAAACCAAATCCTCCACATCTCCTGAATTAAACCCACCAACAATTGTTTATTTCAATCATACAAACACTACAAATCAACTCATTGGTGCCACCGATATATACCCTCTTTTGTAAACTCAAATCGATGTATAAACTTTAACTTTCGCATTTTTTTACATTTCTTCTGGGGCACCGCCTCTTGTTAGGGTTTTCCACCACACTTGCTAGATGTGCTGATGGGTTATGAGATACCCGATTTGAGCTCGTTCGTGGCACCGTGGCATGAATTGGTACTTGAACGGATCGTTTGGGGATTTTTCAGTGTGTTTTTAGTGGCTGAAAAGGTATTTTCTGTTAACGTTTGTTTTCATATTTTGCTTAATCTATTGATGTTTTTAAGGGGTTCTGTCACCATGAAAGAAATAAAAACATGTATGATAAAGATCATGCCAAACCTCAGATTCTATTGGGGAAGTCTGGAGTCATATGACAAGTATAATACATATCCTCCATTTGGATTATGGGTTTCTTGTTCTTGAAGATGGCGTTTAAAAAAGGATGGATTTGAGACGAGAAGAAGAGGTAGGATGAGGTGGAAGTGGATGGAAACTGCAATGAGAATGGGGCTGTTTGATTGGTTTTTCATTAAGTTAATTCTCTATGGATAAAGCCGCCTGTGTGGATTAATATGTCTGTATAGATCGCAACGTTTTTGTTTGGGAGGGTTTTTTTCGTAGATGGTAGCAGTTTTTTGGAGGCGTATGTTTGGAAAAACTTGGCTTTCTGCATAAAGCTATCCCTAAAAGCTCACTGAAATAAGTCACTTTCTGTATCATTAAGCTACTACCAAACGGTCATGTATAACTGACTGGATAAGCAGAGTCCCATTAAGCTACGGTAACAAACATACCCTAACATTGACTGGTTTATGTTGATTAATAGACAACTATTCTTGAAAAAAGTCAATAACTTTTGCATATGCCAAACCAAACAAACCTAATTCGTCCAAATGTAAAGTTGGTAGGGTTAGATGAGATGCATGTAGACATGTTGTCTGCCCTAGAGGATAGAGCGACTGTTTTCGTGAAGACTCCTGACTGCTTTAGTTAACTTTTTCTGCATATGTTTTGCCTACTTATGTACATAATTTACAATGTCATAATCTAGAAGTGTCAATAAGAATGAATCATAAAGTGCTTGTTTGCATGTTTAGATTGCATGCTGATAACATTCCAAGGTAAATATACCATCAAATGGTTTAGATGGTGGAATTTAAACTCTCAATTATCACAAGGTTATATCTTAATCTTGATGTGGCCAAAATTTGTTTTCAATAATTACATGCTTGACGATGAGGATGTTAGAAACTCCACACTTGATTTGACACCCCCCCAGGGTGAGGTCGAGGATGACGTAACACATTGCATCAAGGTGGGGTGACTAAAGTGGAGAGTTGCCATAGGGGTGTTGTGAAGGTCCAACTAAAATTGAACTTGCAATTTTTTTATAGTGTGGTCATCAAACCAACTATGTTGTATGGAACGGAGTGCCGGGAGATAAGGAAGGCACATGAGAGGAAGATGGAAGTTGCTGAAATGAGGATGCTTAGATTGACCTGTGGTAGAACCATGTTTAACTAGATACTGAACAAGGTCTTCCAAACGATGTTGCGAGTTGCAGCCATCGTGTATAAGTTGAGGGAGGGGTGATTCAAGTGGTTTGGCCACGTTTGTTGGAGACAAATGGCGGCTCCATTAGTAAGGAGGATAGAAAGTGCGACGGTCGAGGGGACGGGAGGACATGGAATGAGCAACTGAAGTTAGACATGAAGCCTTAGGCATTTATGAGGACATACCTTTTACAGGAACTCTTGGAACCTAGGATTAGGGTAGCGAACTAGAGGTGGGGACTTGTAGCTAGAGTAGGAGGTAGGGAGCTGCAGAGGTAGAGGGTGGGAGATAGGGTTGGTAAGTTAGACCAGGGGTACATGGTTTTCTTAAATTGGTTATGCTTCTTTTATACCGACTCTATTTGTATGTTTTTGCTTTCTCTTGACCAGTTTTTCAAATCTTCATATTGTATCTCTTTGGCACACTTTTCACAAGTCGGGGATCTTGTTAGGTTAGGTCTACGTACATCTTACCCTCTCCAGATCCCCACCTCAGGTGGGATGGGTTCGTTTGCCCAAAATTTATGAGGACATTGTAAAACGCATTTTTAATTTAATTTAATTGAAATAGTGAGCTAATACTTTACTTGAATAATTAACATTTCAGAATTTTCATTTTCATAATAATAATCTCATTTGGAGTTGAACATATGTGGACTCTTGAATATACGACGAATTCGCCATGTTATTTCCTGATTAATTTTGTTTATTTGTCTTCAAACTCAAATGGGATTCGTTTCGTCTGATGGTTTTACATGTAGGGGCTGATTGGTTGGTTTTTCATCAAATCCTGTACAAATAAAGCTGTTTGTGTGGACTAATTTGTCTGTATGGATTGAGAAGGTTTTTGTTTGGGATGATTTTTTCACATACTGAAGGAGCGTGCTTTGTAATTAGGAAGGTCAAGTATGGAAAAAAACTTGGCTTTCTGCATAAATCTCACCCTTAGAAGCTTATTGAATAAGCCACTTTCTATATCATTAAGCCACTACCACACAGTCATGTATAGCGGACCAAAAGCTCATTAAGCTGCTAACAAATAGGCCCGTAATCCTTCCCTAACACGTTATCATTATCTCATTTGATTATTTCACACTCAGGACTTGCTTCAATTCTGTAAAGTTTGATCATAAAGATTGAGGTTTGTTCAGTGACATTCCATTTGTAAAGACCGGGAGACTTGTTTTATGATTTTTGTGTTTTATTGGTCCATTATTATGGCAGAAGTATGCATTGTAAAAGTAGTAGGAGGATCTTGACTAAAGTTGGTCTACATCACTCACAAGAAACCCATCAACACTTTCTTGTTTTATCAGAAAAATTAGCAAATGTTTATTAATTTCGTTCACATAAGGTTTAAAGTTATTTTTTTCCTTGGTTTTATGCTTAAAACAATTTTCTTTCGTAATGTTATGTGAAAGGACGAGGACTGATTATAGTAGGGTTAGGTTCAAAGGAAACCACAAAAAATGGAAAATGAGGAACATCATAATAACTATTCATTTGTCTTGTATGCACATGTGCATAAAAGTAATTTATCTGGTATGCACATGTGCATAGAAACTAGGAAATGTTTTCAATTACTTTTATGCACATGTGCATATGGCACAAATGAAGGGTTATCAGGGTGTTCCTCAATTTTCTATTTTTTTGTGGTTTCCTTTAACGTGAGTTGACTTTAGTATATGCATATATACATACATGTACTATATAGAGGGTGGTTCAAGGGAAAACCACCAAAAAATGAAAAACTGGGGAACTCTTCGGTAATCATTCATCTGGACGGTATGCACATATGCATACAAGTGATTGAAGTTGTTTCTTGGTTTGTATGCATGTGTGCATTTATGCCCATGTGCTTATGGACAAATTACTTGTATGCACATGTGCATACCATCCAGATGAAAGCGGGTTACTAGGGTGTTCCCCAGGTTTTTTTTTTTTTTTTTTTTTGCGGTTTTCCCAGAACCTGACCCTATATATATACATTTTGCCCCATTAGTTCTCATTCCAGCATTTCATATTGTTTTCATGGGACGTATTTTAGTTCATGAAAGAGGGAGAAACTAAAATATGGTTGGTGATGTGGTGAACTGTAGGCAAACCAATAAGCAGGTGAAGCTATGAATCGACATTTAGCCGATGTTATTGATGAACGAAGCGACAAAGATGGCCTAATTGTTGCTTCTCCTGGACGAGATGTTACAACTGTTGAAGGGGATAAAGATTTTGAGCTTCATGACGGTATTGAATTCGAATCTCACGAGGCAGCTTATTCATTTTATCAAGAATACGCTAAATCCATGGGATTCACCACGTCAATTAAAAACAGCCGTCGGTCAAAGAAGTCGAAAGAATTCATCGATGCTAAATTTGCATGTTCTAGATACGGAGTCACCCCAGAATCAGACGGTGGTAGCACTAGGCGTCCCAGTGTCAAGAAAACCGACTGCAAAGCAAGCATGCATGTTAAAAGAAGAAAGGACGGAAAATGGTATATTCACGAGTTCATAAAGGATCACAATCACGAACTCTTACCAGCCTTAGCTTATCATTTTCGAATTCATAAGAACGTAAAGTTAGCCGAGAAGAACAATATGGATATTTTGCATGCGGTTAGTGAACGAACAAAGAAAATGTATGTCCAGATGTCGAGACAATCTGGAGGGTATAGTAGCGTTGGCTCTTTAAGAGATGACTTAAATTACCAATTCGACCGAGGCCGTTACTTGGCTCTCGAAGAAGGGGATGGTCAAGTTATGCTCGAGTATTTTATGCATATCAAGAAAGAGAACCCGAATTTCTTCTATGCAATCGATTTGAATGAAGACCAACGTCTAAGAAATTTGTTTTGGATTGATGCCAAAAGCAGAAACGACTATACGAGCTTTAGCGACGTTGTTTCTTTTGATATCAGTTACGTTAGAAACAGCGATAAAATGCCGTTTGCTCTTTTTATCGGGGTGAACCATCATTTTCAAGCGATTTTGCTCGGATGTGCGTTGGTTGCAGACGAGTCCAAGACAACGTGTGTTTGGTTGATGAAAATGTGGCTCAGAGCGATGGGAGGAAAAGCTCCGAAAGTTATTATTACCGATCAAGGAAAAGCATTGGAGGCAGCCACGATGGAGGTTTTTCCGCTTTCACGGCATTGCTTTTCGCTCTGGAGTATCCTCGAAAAAATTCCCGAAAGTCTTGCTCATGTAATACGACGGCATGACAAATTCATGAGTAAATTTAGCAAGTGCATTTTTAAGTCGTTGAACGATGAAGAGTTTGATATGAGATGGTGGAAGCTCGTTGGTCGATTTGAGCTTCAAGAAAATGAATGGTTTCATTCTTTATACGAAGATCGAAAAAAATGGGTGCCTACTTATATGAAGGATACTTTTTTAGCCGGGATGTCGACGCCCCAACGTGCCGAAAGTGTAAATTCTTTCTTTGACAAATATATCCACAAGAAAGTTACGTTAAAAGAGTTCATTCGACAATATGGTACGATTCTTCAAAACCGGTATGAAGAGGAAGCCATTGCCGACTTCGATACTTGGCACAAACAACCAGCCTTAAAATCCCCGTCACCATGGGAAAAACAAATGTCATCGGAATATACTCACACAATTTTCAAAAAGTTCCAAGTCGAGGTTTTGGGAGTCGTTGGTTGTCATCCAAAACGAGAACGGGAAGACGGGTCTATCACGATATACACCGTGGACGATTGCGAAAAAGCCGAAAGTTTCATGGTTACATGGAACGGGATGAAATCAGAGGTTTGGTGTTCGTGTTTGCTGTTTGAGTACAGAGGTTATCTTTGCAGACATGCGATGATCGTTCTTCAGATTTGTGGGTTTTCAAACATTCCGTCTTGTTATATTTTAAAAAGGTGGACAAAAGATGCAAAGAACAATCAGTCAACGACCGAAGGAATGGAACGGATGCAAACCCGGGTACAACTATATAACGATCTATGCAAACACGCCATTCAATTGGGTGAAGAAGGATCTTTATCTGAGGAGAGCTACGATATTGCATTTCGTGCTCTTGTGGAAGCTTTAAAGACGTGTGTAAATGTGAACAACAAAGAATGTAGCAACAACGCTCTTTCTATCCGTGATGTAGAAGAGGAGAATCTTGGAGCTGTTTCTGCAAAAACGAGTAAAAGAAAGAGTGCAAACAAGAAAAGAAAGGTTAGTGACGGGTTTTTGTTGCCATCTTACGTACGTGCTCTATAATTTTACGTTCGGTAACTTGTAATTGTTGTCTAAATTATGCAGGTACAATCAGAACCTGAACCTGTAATGCTCGAGGTCCGAGACAACTTGCAGCAAATGGTTGGTTTTATTCGAATTCTTTTTTCTTTCCCGTATATATGCTTTATTGATTAAGGGGCTGGTCGTTGGTTTTCCGTTAAGTCCTATATGGATAAAACTGACAGGGTAGATTAATCTGTCTGTATAGATTGAGAAGGGTTTTGTTTTGGAGGGTTTTTTAATGGATGGAAGGAGTGTGTTTTTTAATTGGGAGAGGCTAAGTTTGGAAAAAAAGCTTCCCTTGGAAGCTTACTGAGTAAGTCACTTTTTATATCATTAAGCCACCACCAAACAGTCATATATAGCTGACCGAATAAGCTATGAGTCCCATTATGCTCGTTAAGCTGCTAACAAACAGGCCCTAAGTTATACTAAGGTTGTGTAGTTTTCACACCTCGGTTATGTTTATACTGTTGTTGCTTGCGTGTTCCTATCTAGTTTCTCAAAATTTAGCATATCTGTCATTCTATTTGTATTATTATTGCTTACTCGTATCTACTTTTTCAAAAATTTAGCTTATCTATACTTCTCTTCACACACTTTTCACCAGCTGGGAGTCTTCATGGAAACAACCGCTCTACTCTTTAGGGTGGAGGTCAGGTCTACGTACATGTTACCCCCAAATCCCACCTCCGGGTTCCGGGTGGTATATACCGCGCTCGTTTGCTTTACTACACAATAATGCCAAAATAGGGAATCTTTGTGGACCCAAATCACTGTAAGGTCTTATGTTTCGGAACATAAAAGAATGAAAGATGGTCTTATGTTTCGAAATCGTACGGTTTGTGTTTGGATTAAAACCAAATTTTAACTTGAATCTATGTTGCTAATAGGAAAGCATGAGCTCAGATGGAATAACTCTTCATGGCTATTATGGGACCCAACAAAATGTGCAGGGACTGGTATTATAGTTTATGATTATTTAACGGAAAATTGTAGTATTATATAATATATATATATATATATATATAGAGAGAGAGAGAGAGAGAGAGGGGTTCAGGGGAAAACCCAAAAAAACCGAGGAATACCCTAATAACCGTTCATCTGTACGGTATGCACATGTGTATACAAGTAATAGAAGATGTTTCCTGGTTTCTGTGCACGTGTGCATGTTATGTACATGTGCATACTGGAAAAATTACTTACACATTACTTGCATATGTGCATACCGTACAGATGAATGGGTACTAGTGTGTTCCTCGATTTTTCTTTTCTTTTTTGTGGTTTTCCCCCGAACTTGATCCTATATATAGGGTCAGGTTCAAACGAGAACAATGACCAAATAAGAAAACACGAGATCCGCCAAATCACATGTGATTGTGCATTAAAATCACATGTGGTTTACACGACCTTGTGTTGACCGTATCGCATTTTAGTTTAGTGGAAAATCACATGTGATTTGGTTGTTCTCGTGTTTTCTTATTTGGTTACTGTTCTCGTTTAAATCATCCTCTCTCTCAATATACATATATTTGAAGGGTTGGGTTCCGGTGAGATGGAGAGTTATGGTCAGAAGGATAAGAAGAGATCTTCACTCTTGGATCGGTCATAATTGAATGTCAACATTAATGAGATGCACTAGATCAATTCTCTTTTAAAGCGCAATTTATGAGTGGACATGAGATCAAAAGTGATCAATTCTTACGCTTCTCACATAACTTCTCTTCTCACACGATCCTTCGCCAATATTTGAAATGGTTAATTGGTTTAAATGTAGCTGCAGTTGAACTTGATGGAGCCACCTCATGATGGTTACTATGTTAATCAACAAAGCATGCAGGGACTGGTATATATGAACTCTATTTGGTACACATTCATATTATTCAAAGGGAACATGTGTGAGAATACTTTTAAGGTTTTTCTGTTCGATATTTTCGTCAATAGGGTCAATTAAATTCGTTGGCACCGACACATGACGGGTTTTTCGAGGCTCAACAAAGCATACATGGTCTGGTACGTTGTTTTAACTACTCTGAAACGTATAAAAATCCGTACATGTTTGATATACTGGTTTAGTTATATGATATGTACGTATATATGTATGTAGGGGCATTTGGATTTTAGACCACCAAGTTTCGGTTATGGTATGCAGGATGAAGCTAGTTTGCGAACCAATCAGATGCACAACAGACATTCATGATTCAATCCTGTCCAATCCCTCAAATATTCGAATTTATGTCGAATACATACATGTAGGGTCAGGTTTAGGAAAAACCGTAAAAAAAAATAAAAAACTGATAAGTAACACCCTGGTAACCATTCATCTAGACCATATGCACATGTGTATACAAGTAATTTGTAAGCAGTTTGGTTGGTATGCACATGTGCATAACATGCATGCTCAGAAAAACCAAGAAACAACTTCAGTTATTTGTATCACATGTGCATAACATACATGCGCAGAAAAACCAAGAAACAACTTCGATTATTTGTATGCACATGTGCATACCGTTTAAATTAATGGGTACCAGAGTGTTCCTATTTTTTTTCATTTTTTTTGGGTTTTCTTCTTAAACTTCCCCCATATATTTATGTATGTAAGTAGTATTGTATTGACATCAATCAGATTTATTGATAGAGAAACTACTTTTGATTGATTTGCTTTCTTATTTATCAACAATTTTGTTCTATCCAGCCTTTTTCTAATAAAGTGGGACCCAAAACTTAATTGTTCAAAGATGTGGGACGTTGAGGTAGGTTTAAACGAGGAACAATACTTAAATAAGAAAACAACCAAATCACAATGCATAATCACTAGGGGTGTGCATCGGGGGGTCAGACGAGTTCAGAAGGGGAAATTAAAAACCCGATCGGATTTCGGATATAGAAATCAAGCCTCATTTTTAGATTTCAAATTTGGGATTTTTCAGATTCTGGTTGGTCGGGTTTGGGTTTAGTTATAATGCAAAATATATATATATATATATATATATATAACCGATTTTGATGATGAATTCAATCAATTTAGAGGATTGATAAATCGATAATATGCTTAGAAATTAGAAGAAACACGATCGACTAAGATTTTTATAACTTTTAAAAGATAATTAGATAGATAAGTATATTTATATAATATTTAAAATATATATGTATATATATTTCGGATTTTCGGACGGATCAGGTGGCCAAAAATCAAAACTAACCCGAACTTAAATTTTCTCAAAAAGTCAGTTTTCAGATTTTCGGGACATTCGGGTTTTACATAAATACATTGTTTTTGGTTTGGGTTGGGATTTCAAATAATTCGGGTCTTACACACTCCTAATAATCACATGTGATTTTCCATTAACGGTCAACAAAGGGAATTTAGGTACTCTTCTTGTATAAACTTGACTTCAGGGGCTTAATGTGGCAAGTAGTAAAGTAGAGGGGCTAAATTCAAACAAAGAAAGGGACCAGCGAGGAAGCCGGTCCAACACAAATCCCGTCGACGCCATTACTGATACCGAAACCTTGAAATACATCCATCATAGTGGGGAGGAGCCGCTTCCTTACACATAACCAGAATCGCCTGAATCATCGTCGGTTTTTCCCTCCGATCCAACCTGGAGATCGAGAGAGAGACGGCAATCTTCCATCGCCGATCACCCCTCTCTCATCTCCAATTTCAACCGGAGGGATACATACTACTACTCACATCATAAAAATCTGCGTCTTTAATTTGCTAACTGTACATGTTCGTATGGTATACAGATAAATTTTTTGGATGCGAAGGTCGAATGCTCGTGTGGCAGAAGCAGTCGATCGCCCTCATATCAATAAAGAGAAGAAGAAAATGGATAACTCCATAAAGCTTAAATTTCGCCCTAATCAATCTCTGCGATCCACAAATCTCTTCTCCAGAAACCAAAAACAACCGCATCTTACCAAATCGAATATCTATATTATCGGATTCCTGACCTTTGTTTTTGTGTCTTCTTGTTATTTGTATTTTAATTCCCGTAATCCGGTACAGAAACGGTATCGAATCATCATTGATGGAGGGAGCACGGGGAGTCGGATTCATGTGTTTCAGTATGTGATTAAGGATGGAGCTCCTGTTTTTGATCTTAGTGGTAAGAAGGGGTTGGCTTCAATGAGGGTTAGCCCTGGATTATCTGCGTTTGCGGAGGATCCCAAGGGGGCGGGTGCGTCTGTGTTGGAGCTATTGGAGTTTGCAAGGGAGAGGATTCCAGGAGAGAAGTGGGGGGAAACAGAGGTCAGATTGATGGCGACGGCCGGGTTAAGGATGTTGGATTTGAGTGTACAAGAACGGATTCTAGAGTCTTGCAGGAATGTCTTGAGGACTTCTGGATTCGCCTTTCGCAATGATTGGGCTTCTGTTATTTCAGGTATGATGAAAACTGTATGTGGGATTTATGATTCTTGTAAAAGCTATTGGGGTTTTGAACACCAGAAAATAGGATAGAAAGCACAACGATTAATCAACCTAAGAACTTTGAAAACACACAAAACACAAAGATTTATGTGGTTTCACCACCAGTATGGTGATGTATGTCTATATGAAAGGAACTTTTATTGATTAGGAATATCCAAACACCAAAGAGAAATTACAAACCGAACACTAAATTGTGTATAATATGTCTGAATATTTTCTCTACTCAAACTAGGGCTTCTAAGCTCTCAATTTCGTTCTATATCCGATGGATCTCGAGGGGGGTATTTATAGTAATCCAGGTGGAATCCCAATTTGATCTTAATTCTAAAGTCTAAGAAAATCATAATTATCTTTGCACACGGCCAGGCTTAGTTAAGGTGCAGCCGTTCTTGAAGACCCAAAAGTATCTGTTCACGAAATAACACTACGCTTGCCCGTGGTTGATCATAAGGTGTGGGCGTGTCAGAACACCCAAAAGTTTTTGTTTTGCAAAGTAACATTATGCACCGTGCTTGAATATAATGTGCGGCCATGCCAGGAACTCGAGAATTTTCTGTTTTGCATATCATATCACAATTTTTCAACAAAAGCTTTTACATTCCATGGATTTACTTGAATCACCATTTTCGACTAGTATTTGCAGGTCTAGAATAATCTTTCCTTTGTGGTCTGTTTTAAGAGATGTGGATATGATGAAATTATGTGTATTTTGTCTGTATGATGGGACTTAAAAAGTATGCAAATTTTTCCCTTAGGTTCTGATGAGGGAGTATATGCATGGGTTGTGGCTAATTATGCTCTTGGAACTCTTGGAGATGATCCTCAGGAAACAACAGGGATAATTGAACTTGGTGGTGCTTCTGCTCAGGTTTTCGTTCTTCTTCTTCTTTTTGTTTATCTTTGTAATGATACATTATTTGTGTTATGATTATTGTTTCCTGAAAAGAGTCTTTTAGATGCTATAATATAGCAAGAAAGAATATATCGTTAGTACATAAAGACGTTCAAATCTAAAAGGCTCAAATCTGTAGATTGTGTGGTTATCTTGTGTTATAGTTGGGTGATAATTGTAGAGTTGAAAGTTTTGATTGAATTCTACATGGTGCATCACTTGTTGGTTGTACAATAAAGCTAGTGGCATATATATTGGCACATTTGAACGGTATGATTGGGATGAAGATTCTTGGTGATATGAACCATTTGAAAAATAAACGTATTTCTTTTGTAGAAGATCCTTTACGAGATCAATTTGGATTGACCTCAGTTTGGTTATAACTGTAGTTCGAGGACCATATGTGGATGGGAATTGTTTTTAGAAGACAGCTACTTATGAATCTTTATTTTCCTGGTTTATGGCCTGTTTGTTAGCAGCTTAATGAGCTTAATGGGACTTACAACTTATTGGATTAGCTACACATTACTGTTTGGTAGTGGCTTGGTGATATAGAAAGTAGCTTATTTAGTAAGCTTCTAGGGGGAAGGTTTATTGGGAAGGTTTATTGGAAAGATTTATGCAGAAAGCCAAGTTTCTTCAAATCTGCCACTCTCAGTTAAAAAACACTATTCTTCCATCTATGAAAAAACCATCCCAAACAAATACCTTCCTGATCTATACAGACAAATTAATCCACACATACATATTTATCCATAAAGGAGTTGATGAAAGACCAACCACACAACCCCTTACACACATTATGTCGAGTTTGGGTTCAAACTAATCAATTGGTACAAATAACTCGTGGAAGATTGACTGTGCTAACTGCTAGTTTCCAAATATGAGATATTGATCCTAGTCACTATGGGTGTCTTTTGTCTAAATGATGCATTTGAAGGAATAATGCAATTATGCATATTAAATATGGAAGTGTTCAGAATTGGCTAAATATACAATGGTGACATGTTGTGACTGTTAAAAGTTCAGAAGTATATTACCTAATCTGATTGTGACTAGAATCACTGCACTAAAATTTTCAGGTAACCTTTTTCTCAAGTGCAGCAATTCCCCCTGAATTTTCACAGACGGTAAAGTTTGGAAATGTCAGTTATAGTCTTTACAGCCACAGCTTGCTCGAGTTTGGTCAGGTAAACATCTTTTACCTGTGTTCATTTGAATTTAATATGCAGTGTATTGGTCAGGTAAACAGCTTACTCTTTTTGATTGATTACAATGTGCCTTCTTTGCAGAATGTTGCATTTGACTTGATTCGTTGGTCAATGTTCGCAAAAGGTTCTAATCCAGGTTGGTATATGTGTTTTTTATCTCCTACGTAGGTTTTGTTTGTTAGTAGCTTAGTGAGCTTAATGGGACTCATAGCTTATTCAGTCAGCTATACATGACTGTTTGGTAGTGGCTTAATGATATAGAAAGTGGCTTATTCAGTAAGCTTCTAGGGGAGCTTTACGCAGAAATCCAAGTTTTTTTTTTCCAAACTTGTCCCTCCTAATTAAAAAACACGCCCCTTCCATTTATAAAAAAACCGTCTTAAACAAAAACCTTCTCAATCTATTCTGACAGATTAATCCACACAGACAACTTTATCCATACAGGTTTTAATGGAACACCAATCAAACAGCCTCTATATAGACAGATAGTTGCATTGTTGCTTCTACGTTCTTTCGTAATTCTCTCATTGTGTTCTGATGTATAAATTCAATGTTTAAAAATTGTACAACAATCTTTATGGGCTTGCTCGCCGTTCATATTTGTGGCACACATTGCTCTTCTTTCTAGAATTTTAACAAATTTCAGTTTATGTTTTTTCAGAATCCTTTGGTAACAAGGAACCAGTTGATCCATGTTCACCAAAAGGATATAAACACAATGCGATGATCGGGAATTACACTCCTGGTTCTTTTGTTGAAATGAATGAACAATCATCCGTTCTACATTCAAGTGGCAACTTCTCTGAGTGCCGATCTGCCTCTTTAACGCTGTTGCAGAAAGGCAAAGGTACATGTTTATTTATTTATATATATATATATAGAGAGAGAGAGAGAGAGAGATTAAGGATCGTGTGAGAATAGGACTTAAGGCGGGAAGTGTAAGAAGGGATTTGGACCCTTGATCACTTTTAATCTCAAATCTATCCATGAATTGCGCTTTAGAAGGGAATCGGTCCCGTGCTTCTCATTAGTGTTGATCTAGTGGAACTCTTCAATTAGGATTGATCCAAGGTGGAGATTCCTTCTTACCTTCTCACTGTAACTCATTCTCACCGGAACCCAACCCTATATATAGGACGATAATCAAATGAGAACCACAAAAAGGTTACAAACCTATAAGAACCGATATAAAAATATCTTTTTACATTAGTTTTTTGATCAAAAGCTATAATTTAACATATTGTTTCACATATGTTTGTGTTCACCTTATGAAAAAAATTGCATATGAAACTTTTTTTTAATTCACTTAGTGAAACAAAAAATACACATAAAAAATATTCATATGGTGAATCAGATACATGTGAAACTATCACATTATGAAAAAGCAATATCTTAAATCCTAGCATTTGATGAAAAAAATCATGTAACAATGGTTCTCACGGGGTTTGTAACTTTTTTGTGGTTCTCATTTGATTCAACCCCTATATATATACACACACACATATAAATAGCGTAACACATCCTGTTGTCGATTACCCTCATTTATTGTCTGTTGTTATGATAAACAGAGGATTGCACCTATGACCAATGCTACATTGGCTCGACGTTTATGCCCAAGCTTGAAGGAAAATTTTTGGCGACGGAGAATTTCTTCCATACATCTAAGGTTACTCTAATATTCCTATTTATTCATTTTGTGGGTCCCATGTCAAGGAAACGGGACCCACAATCATATCTTCAATGTTAAATGGCGAAAAATGAACAAACCCTCATCTCTTAGGTGCGTTGGTATCCAGACAGATAGGACAGGACATAACAACTATTCAATGTTTGGTAACACAGAAATGGACATGACAGAACAAATAAAATGACCAATTTACCCTTAATGAGTTGTTTATATATTGTGATTAATTTATGTAATTTGTTAAATTATAATAAAATAAATATTTTTTATAACAAAATATATCATTAGAAAGTTTTCGTCAAGATGATTAAAATGACACGAAAATAAAAAGTTTATGTAGTTTTCAATTTTTATTTTATACCTTTTCTATATTATTATTATTATTTTTTATTTATCAATATTTAATAAATTACATAAATTAATCAAAATATAGAAACTGTATAAAAATTAATATTTTGAGGACTGTAAAACGAAAGTTTAGAGAGCATGAAATACAATAAATTAAATGTAAGAGGGACACGTATTTCATGTTTTAGAAGAGATTGGGTTTTATTTTGTAGTTATATTGGTAAAATGTAGGTCTATTCCACCTTGTTCCATGGGGTGCAGGTGGATTACTCCCGTTCTACTCTGTTCCACATAAAAGTCCTACCAAATGTGGAACAATGATCCATGTTTTGTCCAATCCAACATACCAAACGCACCCCTATCAATATCATGAATGGTGTTTTGAAATTTGGTGATGTTTGTGGTTTGTTTTGTTGCAGTTCTTTGGGCTGTCACCAAGAACATTTCTTTCAGAGCTGATGGTGGCTGGAAAAAAGTTTTGTGAAGATGATTGGTCAAAGTTAAAGAGGAAATACCCAACATTTAAGGATGAAGATTTGCATCGTTACTGCTTCTCATCAGCATATATCATTGCTTTACTTCATGACAGCCTTGGAATTGCACTCGATGATAAAAGGTAACATTTCAATCAGAGCTTGTTCTCCATATATATAGAGGGAAGTTCCGTTAGGAACCCGTACAGCACTCCATGTGTTCGTAGATGAATATTCATCATGAATGTGTTACTCATGACAAATATGGAGGTGCTATTCATGATGAATCACAATTTCATAATAAATATGTTACAACATTCATGATGAATAACACATTTATATTACCGATGAGTATGCCATGTGTCACACTCTGGGTAGTCCCCAGGTTCCTAATCAATTTTAGGTTCCTAAGGGTATATATGGTACCTAGACAGGACAATACAGAATAGGATAGAATAGGACATGACAGTTGTTTAGCGCTTGGTAAGATAGGACTGGATCAGGACTGATAAAATGATCAATTTACCTCTAATGAGTTGTTTATATCTTCTCTATATCTTGATTAATATATTTAATTTATTAAATTATAACAAAATAACTTTTTTTATAATAAAATGTATCAGTAGAAAGTTTTTGTCAAGACGATTAAACTGACACCAAAATATGAAGAATTGATAAAATGTGAAAAGTGAGACGTATTTAATGTTTTAGCAGAGAATTATGTTTTGTTTTGAGGGTATATTGGTAAAACATAGGCTTGTTCCACCTTGTTTCATGGGATGGCGGTGGAACACGCCCGTTCCACTTTGTCCTACCAAACATGATCCATGTTCTGTTCTGTATTGTCCAGTTTACCATATGCACCTAATGGAACCTGCCCATATATCTATATATGAAGTATAAAAATGGGGAGTGTTTTGATGGGATGGTGGGTTGAACAGGATTCGATACGCTAATCAGGTGAGCGACATTCCACTGGATTGGGCATTGGGCGCCTTCATCTCACAAATCATGAGCGAGTTAGATGTGGGGCAATTGTACCCAGTGAAATCAATACTGGGCGTGGACTCTTGGACGTTAGCGTTTGTGATATTTTTGTTGATCGGTGCTGCATATTTTGGGTCGAAATGGAGGAATCCCCCGAATGTAAAGACAATATACGATCTAGAGAAAGGGAAGTATATAGTTACCCGAATAGGTAGACACTCATAATACACGTTTGTTTTCTTCTTGTCGATGAATTAGATATAGTTGAATACGATATGGAGAGAGAGATGTCGTATTTGCATTGCAGCAGAAGATAGTGAGTACCGGAAAACCGATGTAATTTAGCAGAAATGTTACTGTCAATTTTTTGTTATATATTGTTGGGTTAGGGGTTGTTTGGTAGATGCAGAATGATTAAATCGTGATACCACGGGGTGCTTGATTTTTGAAATGCATCATCACACTTTGTCTCAATATTTTGATGTTGGTGTATATTTGGAAAATATGCTTCATTTTGTTGGTTGTATGTTTTGTTATCGTTATGCAATCCAAAAAATGATTCAACTCGGGCTTTGGGGAAGTCTAGTTTGAAAAAGTCGAAATTTTCAAGCTCGGTCCTTTCTTTCACTCATTGAAAATGGGTTTGGGAGTCCCGAACCCATATCTACGATGGACCACAATATCTAGAGTCGGACCCACATTGAATGAAACGTGTCATCGTTTTATGGTTCCGTCATAAGGGGAAAATTTACGTTTATGAATGTGCCAAAACTGAAATGTTAACACAAGACTTTAATTTGTGAGATGGTAAATGCTTATGTCATTGTACAAAAGGCTTGGGTTCAAGTCCCATTGTTGTCAAATTTGTTACTTTTAGCTTAAATTTTGTTGTCTTTTTAATTAACTCTTCAGTTTTAAAAATATACGTAGACCCAATTTAAAAAAAAAATCTGAATATCTTTGAAAATATTACATTTGACTAACTATAATAAAGGACTACCGAAAGATAGGGCTTCCCGGAGAATTTTGTTCGTCGGGCCTGTTTTTTGCTCCTAGAGGTGCTGGTGTGAATCCAGTTCGTGACGACCAACGAGTGAGATTAACTACCAAGAAGGGGCGCTTCAGGAGACTGATAGTTGACAGGTAGGTCAAGCTGCCTACACCTGTCTGGTATGATCATTTAGCGGCTCTTTCTGTCTTCCACTTGTCACGAAAAATTATGCCTTGGAGAATAAATGACCGAAAGATCAAACTCCAATGCACTCCTGGAAACTAGAATGACGTCACGCCAATTTGTTGCTACTACAGTTCCAAGTGACTAATAATATAATCTATCATTATTGGTTTGAATTCTGTAACAATGGTTAGTGATGTATTGTTACAAATATTTAATTTTATATAATCCACTTTGTTTGAAAAAATTAATTTAATGGAAATCCAACAAAATGGGTGAGTATAAAGAGACCAATTCATCAACTACATTGAAAGAGACATGTTAAAGAACCAACCTACTTGTACATTTACAAAGTTAATATGTCAAAATGGAGCATCTTGTTGTTTTCATTTAAAATACCTAATTTACCCTCCAATTAAGTAATATTTATTTTGCTTAAATCAAAGAATAAAAATAAAACAAAATTGGTTTTTAAAATAAAAGGCTTTGAATCTTTTTTATGTATTTATAAATTATAGGATTTTTATATATTAACTTTAAAGTTGGTCAATTTGAATCCTCTCATATATATATATATATATATATATATATATATAGAGAGAGAGAGAGAGAGAGAGATAGAGTTCGTTTCAAATACAACTCATCACATTTGTACAACTAATTCAACCCAATAAATTGAGAGATTTATGGAAATAATGAGTCTATTTATTATGATTTGAATATTTATGGAAGATGAATATGGTTTATTAAGTATGATCAATACTTTATATTAGAAAATAATCAAAACTTCCATGAAATCACATATTAATCAAATGAAATTGACGGTTGAGATTGTGTTGTATTGGTTGCACAAATGTCAAATGTTGTATAATAACCAACCTCTCTCTCTCCCCCCTCTCTCTCTCTCTCTCTCTCTCTCTATATATATATATATATATATAAGGTTTTTTTAACTGTTAACTTTAAAGTTTTATTAGAAGTATTTACAAAAAAAAATTACAGAAGGTTTTGAATTTTATCTGAAAAGAAACATAAATTTATCTATCTTATATGATTAAATATACCCTTTATTGTAAAACTTGACTCGATAATTATGTATAAGTAGGAAACCCACAAATTCTAAAATGAAGATCAAAAGTCAAAATCTTTAAAAAGAAATTACATTCACTTCAACAGCTTTTTCATTTTGGATATTACAATATCAATTATGTTATTAAAATATTCAATACAGTTAATAAAATATTATTTATCTTTTCTAAATATTTAATTTCAAGAATTCGAATAAAAATCATTGCTTTCATAAATAAATTATTTTTTAAGAGTTCTCTAAATTTTGAAGAATTTTATCATCTCTCTCCTACTTTTTCAATTCTGAAGAAAGTTTTGAAAATTTTGTTAAAATAAATACACGTCAAAATCTCCATTTTAAATAATCTTTAAATGAAGGATGTAGTTATTATATTTGTAATTTTAACAAAATAACCAATAAAAAATGTCATCACCTAACTATTTTTCATTTTAATAAATACAATAATAATTAAGGGGGTGTTTGGGATTGCTTATAAAAAACAACTTATTGTATGACATCGGTAATAAGCACTTACGAGTATTTGAATAAACAGCTTATATCGGTGTCAAACCAGTAATAAGAAGTTTTTGAAAAAGTTAAACCATTTTAACTTATTATAAGTTAATAATGACTTTTGTAAAAGGAAAAAAAAACATAAGTTGTATCTCAACAGGTTATTTAAAAATAAATCAAAATGGAAGATGAAACTTCAAGATCTTGAAAAACAAGAACACATTCAACTTCCGTAAATTCTTTATTTTAAAGATTATAATATTGATTATATTATTAAAATAATTTATTCATCTGATAAAATATTGTTTATCTCTCTGAAAATTTAGTTTCAAAGTTTATATTAAAAAAAACAGATTTCTCTCATTGTAATCATTTTTAGAAACTTCTTCAAATTTATAGAATTTCATCATCTCTCTTATACTTTCTCTATTTTACGGTTGCGGTTTTAAAGAAAACTATTGGAGCAAAAAACATGCATAAGAACGTCTCCAACGGTTTCTTGAAAACATAAATTTTACGGATTTTTACGCTAACAGATATCTCATAACTTTCTCCAAAATAGAGAAAGTAGAAGAGAACCATTGAAATTAAATGTATATGAGAGATAAATACTATTTATATTATATTATAAAGCATTTGACAAAAACTCTTAAAAACTATTTTTTATGTGTAAAGTACTGTTTATTAATCCATATTACTTAAAACTTAAGATTACAAGTAGATTGTGCGTAAGTACAACTTATTAAAGCTCCATATCTGAATTCGTGTAACTAACTTCAGATAAACATAATCAAATATATGATAAACATCTCATTTTAAATATAAAAAATCTAAAATATAATTAAGATAATCATTGAGTTCTAACAAAACACTTAATTATTATCTTTATAAAATGTTATATTATCTATACTATATTATAAAAATTTGACAAAAACTCTTAAAACCATTTTTTATGCATAAAGTACTGTATATTGATGCATATTACTTAAAATTCAAGATTACAACTAATTATGTATAAGTACAACTTATTAAAGCTCAATGTTTGAATTCATGTAACTAACTACGGATAAACATAATCAAATAGAGGATAAAATCCCATTTTAAAATATAAAAAATCTAAAATATAATTAGGATAATTATCAAGTTATAACAAAATAATTAATTATTATTTTTATAAGAAAACTATATTATTAAACCAAATACAAATTATTTCGTTATTGAACCTAAATTAAATTATAATAAAAAAATTGAGTTAAAAAATTATACAAGATATGAGGAATTTTAGATATTAAGTTTGATACTAATATCGATATATTTTTGTCAAATTTTGATTTTAATATTTCAATTTATTTTTTGTATCTGTCGATATAACATGGTTTTATGCGGTTTTGAGAGAGTGATAATATTTTTATTTTTGAATAAAACATAAATTTGAAGATATCATAATTAAAAATTTGAAAAAAATAAATTGATATCAGTATGAAAAAAACTATTTAAAAATTCTAGTTTTTTTGTACATTTATCTAATTCAATTTTTTTATTATAATTTAATTTAAATTTAATAATGAAACAATTTATTTTTAGTTTAATAATATAACATTTTATAAAGATAATAATTAAGTATTCTGTTAGAACTCAATGATTATCCTAATTATATTTTAGATTTTTTATATTCAAAATGAGATGTATATCCCGTATTTGATTATGTTTATCTATATTTAGTTACACAAATTCAAAAATGAAGCTTTAATAAGTTGTACTTATGCACAATTTACTTGTAATCTTGAATTTTAAATAATATGCATCAATAAACAGTACTTTATGCATAAAAAATGGTTTTTAAGAGTTTTTGTCAAATACTTTATAATATAATATAGATAAATAAGCTTGTTTTATATGTTGTGTCTTAAATAATATTAGCTTATATGGTATGCATTACCAATACTTCTAAAAACTTGTCAAAAAACAATCATAACTCTAAGCATTTTAAAATGAGTTAAGTTTTATAAATTCGAACAAATTCAATTATTATAAGCCAGAAAAATCTTCTCTAGAAAAAAAAATTCAGAAATTTTTGCATCCTGCTGCATTGCAACGGGTAGAAAACTAGTGTGTGTGNATAAAAAATAATTTTTAAAATTTTTTATCAAATATTTTATGATATAAAATAGATTTTAATAAATAATATTTTTGAAATATTAATTGGAAAAGGGAGTGGGTCAAAAGTCAGCTGTCATAAAAGTTGCAGCCGTTAGAAACAAATGCCCTAACGTCTCCAAAAGCGTTAATTTAGGGGAAACCAAAATCTTACCTTTTTTTTCCCCAATATATAAATCAATCGATCTTCCCCTAAATTCTTTCACCCATTTGCTTTCAAAACAACGCGGTTTTGAGCAAATCGGACAACAACAACAACAACAACACTGTTAAAACAGAGAAATAAAACAACCCAACAAAAAAGCTCTCCCCACCTCCATTTCTTTGGCCGGCAATCGCTTCTGATTCCCTGCCATCATCTCACATTTTCTTTCTTTCATCCTTAGGTAATGCATCTATTCCTTTTGATCGATTCGTATATATGGTTTCTGTATTGGTATTGATTTCAATTTGGTGGAATTGGATGACACCCTTTTAATTGGGCTTCTAGGGTTTTGTTTTGTATACGTCGATCGTGGTCAAAATCGACATGTGGGATTGTTTTAGTTTTATGTTTTAATTCGGTCATGGCGTTTTGTTATCACGATTAGATTTTGTTTGAGGTTGATTAAAATTGGTATCTGGTGTTGGTTTTCATGATGATATTGGTCTGCATTTATATGGTTTGTGTAATTTTATGCTTAATGATCGATCCCCTTTTCCATTTTCGATTCTGAATTTAAGCAATGGCATATGGGATTTAATTATTTATGCTTATTATCCTTCAGATTATATGGGTTTCGCCTATTTCCAAGAATTTACTAGTTTTTCTATTCATGTTTTTTGGGGGTTTATGAAAATAAAGAAGATTAAGATATGGATTTTGAGTTTTTATGTTTTTTTACCCAAAAGTTTTTAAATTTAAGAGGTTTAATGACCATTTGGAATTCGATATTCTGAAATTGGTATACGGGGTGTTATGATCATGTGAGTTTTAGCGAAAAGAATGGTGTTTGCTTTTGTTTCTTTTCTTATACAGAGGTTTGAGTTCTAACTAAATGGGTGATCACTTGGTTCTGGATGTAAATCTGGTGAAGCCTGTGGGCGGAGAAAACGTAAAAAAGACCGAGGAGATGGTGGGCCCCTCATCTTCCACAGACGTAGCTCGTGCAGTGGATGAAAACGGGGCCTTGGATGATGAAGAAGCGCCTCTATTAACAATAGCAGAGTGTCGTATTTGCCAAGAGGAAGATTCAATCGATAAATTGGAGACACCATGTGCTTGCAATGGTAGTCTTAAGGTAATCCATTTCCGGATATATTTTTTTATAGTATACACGTGCTTTAGAGTAGGAGGTACAAGATCAGATTAGAACCATATGTATTTCTGAGAACCATGAGAACCAGTATATGCGTTGATGCATATGCACTATATGAACTTCAACTAGTATATGCATCAATGCGAGTGGCGAAAGATCGTGTGAGAAGGAGAGTTAAGGTTAGAAGCGTAAGAAGGGATCTGGACCCTTGATCACCTTTAATCTCAAGCCCACCCATGAATCGCGCTTGATATGGGGATTGATCCGATGCATCTCGGTGCATCTCATCCTAATGTGCATCCAAGGGTGGAGATCGTGTTTTACGCTTCTCACCTTAACTCTCCTTCTCACCGATGCCTAACCTTAATGTGAATATACACACACACACATAGAGAGGGAGAGAGGGAGGTTCAAGGAAAACCCCAAAAAATGAAAAACTGAGGAACACCCTAGTAACCATTCATTTGTACTGTATGCACATGTGCATACAAGTAATTGAAGTTGTTTCTTGGTTTTTATGCACGTGTGCATGCTCTGCGTACGAAACAAGTTACTTGTATGCACATGTGCATACTGTACATATGAACTGTACCAGGGTGTTCCTCAGTTTTTCTTTTTATCGTGGTTTTCTCCTGAACCTGACCGATATATACGTGTGTATATACACATAGTAGATATGCATTGATGACACATTTGACAAAATACTATCTTGATAGTGTATATGCATCAATACATAGTAGATATGCATTGATGAATATACACATTTAACTCCTTTGTGTCCACATCTTTGTCTTTTTTGTGATTAAGTTTGATGTTTGTGCAGTATGCTCACAGGAAGTGTGTTCAACATTGGTGCAATGAAAAGGGTGACATCACTTGTGAGATATGCCACCAAGTATGCTACTACTACTATTATCAAAATTCTCAAATTTTAACCTTTTCAATTTAAGGTCCCCATGACAATTAGACTGGGACAGGATATGACTGAGTGAGAGAAAAATGTAGTTTTTTTCCCACTAAATAGGTAGAACAAAAATCGGGGAGATGGGTCAAGATAGTTAAATTACTAAATTACCCATGTCAAAATAAAACCTTAAAACTTTTCTCAATTCTTTCACCTGTCCAGCTGTCTTGTCTGGTCTTGTCCTGTATGCTTACCAAACGCACCCTCAGGGACAAGTTGTCTAATTTATGTATCTATTTTCCCGGATATTTGTTCATATGATGATTCCTTATGCAGCCTTATCAACCTGGCTATATTGCTCCTCCTCCCCGACCTCGCTTGGAAGAGACCACCATTGATATCGGGTAATCCATTATTCTCTTTCTCGAATAAGAATCTATGTTAATATCATATTTTTTTATGACTAGTTGTGTACCCGTGCAATGCGGCGGGAGCCATTAATTTTAACGATTTGGAAGTTCCACTGGTTTTATAAAATAAGATTTAACGATGATATAGGTTACACTTGGTCTTTACATATTAATACAATTTGAATAAATAAGAGTTATGGTTCCAATTACAGACTATCGATGAAAAAAATTGTATGACAGTTTAATATTCAATATATTTAAAATCCAACATATTTAAACAACTCCACAAATGTATTTGATTTACACCAAGAGCAAAGAACCAAGAAACGTGAGTTTTAAGATAAACACTCAAAAACAATAAAAAAAACTACAAATTTGACAGATCATAAGCCATGAAAAGACAAAAAAAGATGGGTTTTAGAATGAAATTTCAACTGTTTACCCTCTTTTTTGCCTAGAAACTCATATTAAGGTTGAATTAATACATGTATATATATATATATATATATTCAAAAAACCCAAAAACATATTATACAGTGCAATTTGGACAGCCTAACCGCAAAATATATAGTATATATATAAATAAATAACTATAAAAGTATAAATCGTAAATATTAAAAATATTTTTTCACAGTATATATAATATATAATAATATAATTAAGTCAAAAAGTATTCAATATTGGACTCATTTCGAAGGTATTAACGAGACGATTATAATGATGTAACTTGTTAAAATAAAAATGTATTTTTTAAACATATTTTAATTGATATACGATTATTTATGTTAATTTGATAAATGTTTAAAATGAAACATTTAAAAGTAAAAGACGTAAAGTAAATTAATTAATTAATTATAGGGGTATAAAATGTAAATTTAAAATTATAATTTTAAAAAAATTGGTTGTGAGAGGGTGAGCTTATGTGAGGAGAGGAGGGGGTGAAAAAGTTAGTATAAAGGTTATTTTGGTCATTTATAATTTTAAGACTTTAAGACTTTTACTAAATTTGCTTAATAAGATAGTATAGATATAGATAATCTAAATTGTTTTGAATCTTTATCAGGGGAGGATGGCAAATCTCAGGAACGCCAATGGATTTGAACGACCCACGTCTCTTGGCAATTGCTGAAGCTGAACGCCAATTTCTGGAAGCCGAATACGAGGATTACAATGCATCAAATGCCAGTGGAGCTGCATTTTGTCGTTCAGCTGTTTTAATTGTAAGTCTTGGGAGCCATATTTATGTAACAGGATTTCACAAGATGGAAATTGAATGATGAAAAAGTAATTGATTTTGGTGCACTAGAGAGAGATTAAAACTTGCGACGACTTCTAATGTTTTGCAGTTAATGGCTCTTTTGCTACTACGACATGCGGTAATTGTGCCGGATTCTGACGGAGATGGAGATGAAGATGCATCTACTTTCTTGACCGTAAGTATATATGGTTTGAGAAAACACACACACACACACACACACACACATATATATATATATATATATATATATATGAACTTAGGTTTTGGGGAAAACCACAAAAAATGGAATACTGAGGAACTCCCTAATAACCATTGCATATGTTCGATATGCATGTGTGCATAAAACTAATTGAAGATGTTTCCTGGTTTTTATGTATGTGTGTATTTTATGCACATGTGCATACATACATTACTTTTATGCACGTGCGCTTATCGTACAAATGAATGAATGGTTATTAAGGTTGGATTTAGGGGAAAATCGCAACAAAACGAAAAACTGAGGAACGCCTTAATAACCATTCATCTGTATAGTATGCATACGTGTATACAAGTAATTTTTCCGGTATGGACACGTGCATAGAACCAGGAAACATCTTTAAATACGTGTATGCACATCTGCATACCATACAGATGAATGGTTATTAGGGTGTTCCTCAGTTTCTCTCTCTCTCTCTCTCTCTCTATATATATATATATATATATATATATATTCTCATTGAAATATGTCTGATTGATTATGGTTGTTTGGCAGCTTTTCTTGCTTCGGGTTGCTGGGTTTCTTCTGCCGTGCTACATCATGGCCTGGGCCATCAGCATCTTGCAGCGTCGAAGGCAAAGACAGGTTTGTCTCCACACTTTTCTTTCTATTAAGCAAAAAGGCAAAAAGCTCCAAGCTTTTGATCAAATTTGAGTCCTTTAAGTTTAGGGTTTATGGTTTATGGAATTCCTAATTCCATTCTTGGTCCCCTTCCCTAATTTATTGGCCTAAATCATCAGCCACAAACACCTTTCCGTTCATCGCGTGGGACGCTCGGGTATTCTGCTAAACTGCATTGTTTGTTTGTTTATAACAGGAGGCGGCAGCATTGGCGGCATCACAGATTGCATTTGTATTGCAAAGAAGAGGCTTGCACTTTGCCATAGCACAAGCCCCGGCCCCGGCTGCCGTTGCGATTCCGGTCGTGACTCCACAGGAGAATAATGTTTGATTTTGATTGAAATACCAAAAAGGGGAGGAAAATATAAACAACTCTATTGCCTGTTGTAACAGTTTGCTCATATGACTTTCCAAACAGTCTTTGTTTTGTGATGTGTACAGAGAAATGAGAATTATTTGTGATGAAGCTTTTTATTTTAAATTTCATGAATCTTTCAACATCTTTTATACACCAAAATCAGTTGCCCGTATTCCATCAAACGGTTTCGAAAACGATCAAGAATTCTAGGAGAAAACGACAATAGGAGCTTGTTTTTCGTTGATTCAAGGTAAAGATACGAAACCGAGTCTTGTTATTTTTATGTCAATGGCTTCGTTTCTTAGGGCAATCGAACCGAAAATTTAGTTTAGGCTCTATGGGTATAAGTATTTATCTTGTTTAGGCCATGGCCGCCATTCCGAGACAATAACGTGAGAGGGTACTTTTTGGGTAAAAAGTTGAATACTGAAAACCTCCACTGGTGCCTCATATGGAACTTGCCTTCAAGTAGGGATGTACAAAAAATCGTCAACCCCGTCCAACCCAACCCGCCAACAACTCAACCAAACACAACCCGTCAAAACGCTGAACTGTTAATCATGAGGGTTGGAAATGGGTTTGCTTAGCTCAACCCAACCCAACCTAGACCAACCCGCTCCACCAACCCACCGTTGATATATATTATTTCGATAATAGGGGGACATTCAAGGGATAAATGGGTAGGTCCAATCTCAACTACAAATCAAAGTTTAAATTGAAAAATTAATAATTTTAAATAATAGTATTTTATGTGTATTCTTATCTCTCCTCTTCCTTCAACATGAACATTCCACTAAAATAACTACCGGCTACATACGATACATCAATTAAGATCATTCTCCCTCTATATACCCACTTACGTCCATTGTGATACTCATCGTATACACCTTATGATACTCTGAGATACACTCTAAACAACAAAAACACAAATGTGATACAAAGGAAACAACGGAACATGTTCAAAATAACACACTGTGGAGAGTTATGGAGGGATTAATTGGTTAGACATGTTCTAAAGATAGACCAGCGTTTGGTTCACACAATGTTTTCTAAAGAAGTGTCTGTCAAAGGAATTCACGGATGATTAGGGGCTTCAAAATCTGATTTCTTCACATCAAATCGACAATTTAAGGTTAGTTTTTCACGCTTAAGTTCAATTCTTTGTTATATTTAATGATTAGAATGGTTTTGAAGTTGATTTTTAGGTCACACAAAAAGGAAACTAAAGGTTGCCATTGGAGGAGAGCAGTGTGTATGTGTATTCAGCCCTAATTGAGTCTCAATGTGATATATCTTTATTTTGAAACATTAGAACCTAAAGCCCTACAAAGAATGGGACAAAAATAGGTGTTCTAAACCTTATTAGTTTTTCTGTATTTTTATGTATTGAATATAAATATTGTAGCTTTAACTACTTTGTTTCAACATTTGCAACTTTTATTCGTTGCAAATAAAACATTACATGTGTTATCTAAAAACTCAAAAAGGATTATGGCGGATTCATTGACGTGCCCGATTCTGCTTGGATAGCTTGCAACTTCACTTACTTTATGGCCTTGCCGCCATTCAATCCCCGTCGTTCCATTTTAGCTCACCTCCAACCGGAAGACCATTTCGTGTCCTAAGGAGGAAGGGGGGTGTTTGAATTAAATATGAACAAAATGATAAAGTTGTCATCTATGTAACTTGAAGTTGATACAAAACCAATACTAATTGAAAAAAGTTGGTACCACATATAGTTGATTGGTGCACCAATATAAGATTTTGTGTACCAATTATAATTGATTGATATGTCATATGCAATATAAGATTTTGTGTATCAATTATAATCGGTTGATATACAATGTTGAGGAGAAAAAAACTTGATACCATATCAAGTTCACCCCTATAAATAAGTTATTAAATAGATGATGCAAAAATACGATTAGAGATGACCAAAAATCGGTCTGGCGTGACCCCAAATCGATCACTGTGCTAGAATTGCTTTGTGTGACCGAACCCGGTCCCGACCAAAAACCCATGGCCTGGTCTATATGTTTTGTAACTGGTCCTTACTACTTAAAACCGGTCCGAGATGGGCCCAAACTGGTCCCAAATTTTTTTTTTTCAAAAATCAATTTTGAACGTAAAGAAGTTTGTGTTTGAAGATTTTATCTTATAGATAATGTCTTATTGAAATACACATTAAAATATCTAACTGGGTCGTTCAAACATGCTTTAAAAATATTTTTGAAAATATTTCTGCACAAAAATGTTATAGATGTTTTTATAATTATGATTTTTACGATTTAGTATTTTAACACTTACAAAAACTTGAAAAACTTCAACTTTCTTTGAAGTTTTTGGTAAAATGAACTTGAAAATGTTGTAAAAACCTATTTTTTTTTATTAAATAAATCGGACCTATATATAACTGGTCCCATGTCATAAATTTTCTAGAAAAATACAACCTATTAATAACTGTTGGACGGGGTCCCGGTCCCTACCGGTCATGGTCGGTCCTGGACCTGGTTCTCCGTTGGTTTCGGGCCAAATCAGGCCCATTTGATCGGTTAAAGACGATTGGATGAAAATTTTAAACTAAGCCCATTGAGTTAGGCCCAACATATTATTGAGGCCCAAATAATCTTAAACCTAGGGCATCCTTCATATACATCTCATCGTTCTCCCAGCTTCCTTCTCTTCCAGCCTCCCCTCAAAATCACACAGAGAACTGTCGGCCGGAAAAATGGTGCAACGGCTCACTTACCGTAAACGGCACAGTTACGCCACCAAATCGAATCAACATCGGGTTGTTAAAACCCCTGGTAACTTTCTTTATTTTACGTGCTCTATGACCATAATTCTAGCATTGGAGGAGTAATCACTTGAATGTTCTGATTTAGGATTTATGATTGAATTTATTTTTTCATGAAATTTTACATTTGATTGTTGTTGTCTGTTTGTGTCGCTAGAAGTTTTATATGGTTATTTGGTGTTTTTGATAGGTGGTAAGCTAGTATATCAGACTACCAAGAAGAGGGCAAGTGGACCGAAATGCCCTGTTACTGGAAAGAGAATCCAAGGGGTATGTATGTTTGTCTTAGTTTAATGTGGCTTATTAGTGTGTGTGTGTATATATATATATATATATATATATATATGTATATATGTGTGTGTGTGTGTGTGTGTGTTTTACCAGATTAAAATCGTGCTAGCACTTGTTAATTTTTAGTTAGATTTGCATAATAATTACAATCGTTTACTGCCGCTTCAAAATGTTAACCATTGTAGCCTGTTTGTAAATCTAAATTCTTGGTTATGTGTACCATTTTAAGGGGCTGTGTTGATTAATATGTCTGAATAGATTGGTAAGTTTTTGTTTGGGACCTTTTTTTCTTAGATGGAATGAGTGTGCTCTTTTACGAGCATATTAAGTAGAAGAATTTGATGTAGAGTTCCATTTTATTGATTCTAGACTAGTCAAAATTCTTAACATCATGCCTGGTTAAAGTCCTTCTGAAGGCCAGATAACTGAATTAGTAATATTTTGGTGTTTTTTTGAAAAAATGTTTGGAATTTTCAATTTCTATGTAGTGTGTGATTGTATTATGTATGAGTGTTTCCATTTTTGACATTCTCCTATGGATCCTTACATGAATTAAGCCCTGTAGGCTGTAGGTGTATTCTGAAGATGGTTGGGGATTGTAAGCCATTGTTTACAAGTTTATTGTTGTGCAACTGCTAGTGAATGTGAGACATTTGGTGGATGTTGACTGTTTGGATCCTTTTCTACGATTCATTTTCAAATGGGTGTGAGAAAATGAAGCTAAAAGAATGGACTATTATGTTATTATGATGATGATTATCATATTCTACAAATGGAAGATAAATTTCATTATCTACTTGGACTTAACTTCTTTATGGTCTTATAAGTTATAACATGAAGAGAGGTGTTTATATTATCACTACTGATATTTGTTATTAAATCAAAAACCTAAAGAGGGAGAATACTCTGATTTCTTCTTCTAACTAACAGTAGCAATTATGGTAAATAAAGAGGTAAGAGTTTGAGATATAGCACCTCAGTTTATCGTGGTTTGGTCTTCTTGTCCTGCATTCACTACTTGAGTTCTTTTTCCAAACAACTTCTTTCATGCACAAATGCTATTAAACTTCCACAAACAAATGCAAGATACAAGTTTTCTGTGCTTGTCATCAAGAAGGAACAAGTGAATATTTCTAATTGATTGCTCTGTAAAAGGCTAATGCAAAGTGTTTATGAAATAGTGGTTGTTAAACTAGACAATCATTTTCAGCAAGGATGTTTATAGAGTTTTCAGCTTTATAATAAAGAGATGTTCCCATTTTTCATAAGTTGTCAAACTTAGAACCTTTCTCCATTAAATTGTTGTAGCAATCAGTACTGAGAACCATTGTTGTCTAGTTTTTTACTTTGTAGGTACTTTTGTTTTTGGCATTCATTGTGAAATGAATTTTTGCTCATCAGTCTCTTAGCTTCAATTTCTTCCAAATGATATATGATTGCTGTAATTGAACTTTGGAAAATTGTTACTACTAAATGGGCTTTTCTTACACTGTTTAATGATCCATTATTTGTGTTTGAAATAGGCTATATACTTGGGAATATATGTAAATGAGTTTGTTTTTCTTTTTTATTGTATGAATATCTGTAAATACAAATGCAATTGCCTTACCAGCTATAAACTCAGTTGCTGTTTTGTTGGTTTTTCATCAAGTCTTGTATGAATAAAGTTGTCTGTGTGGATTAATCTGTCTGTATAGATTGGGAAGGTTTTTGTTTAGAAGACTTTTTATGTAGATGGAAAGAACTTGCATTTTTAACTAGGAGGTGCTGTTTTGGAGAAAAACTTGGCTTTCTGCATAAAGCTTCCCCTTAAAAGCTTTATGAATAATCCACTTTTTATATCATTAAGTGCCAGACAATCATTAAGCTGCTAGCACAGTTCCTTAGTCTTATAAAATGCGATCATTGACCACACATGTCATTTATGCAGATTCCTCATTTAAGACCTGCTGAATACAAAAGGTCAAGATTATCTAGGAACAGGAGAACCGTCAATCGTGCTTATGGAGGTGTTCTTTCTGCAGGTGCCGTAAGGGAAAGGTATTTCCTTCGCACAGTCTTTAGTTTTTCAGTTTTGTATTTGCGCAATTCATTGTTTTGGGGGTTCATAGTTACTGAACTTATTTGTTGGATTCTTGTTTAGAATCATTAGGGCCTTTCTGGTTGAAGAACAAAAGATTGTGAAGAAGGTGTTGAAGATCCAAAAGGCAAAAGAAAAGACTGCCTCCAAGAGTTAGATGTCGAGGTCGAGGACTCTGCAACCCTCACGAGAGTAATTTTGGGTACAGCCGGCACTATGAAGTGTGAATTAGATTTTATGGTGTCAAGATCTTCGATCTGTAATCGGGTAAGCGGGTTGTTTTTAAGTTTGGTTACGTTTACTTCATCTACAATCAAAACTTGTTAACTTTATTAGGTTTTTGTTTGGTGTTTAATGGTTTTCTGAATTCTGTTCTGGATTCTTTTGGTATTGCATTTACTCTGAAATCAGCTTATCCTAAATTCAAGTTCCAATTTTGAAAACACTCATGGAGACATACATCGTATATATATAGATTTAGGGGAAAACTGCAAAAAAATGAAACTACTGATGAATGATTACATTTCTTAGTTTTTCATTTTTTGGGAGTTTTCCCAATATATATTATGGTTGGTTGAGAACATAGACAAAAATTTATACATAAGAATTGTTAGTGTTAGAAAAGTGCCATATGTCCTCAAAGTACATGAGGTCAATGATATGTTCTTGACGAAATTCGTATAGTTTTCTGGTGGTTCAACTCTACATAAACCTTGTTATTTCGGTGTCACTTTAGTTGTTTTGACAAAAAATTTATGATGATATTTTTATTATTTTATTTATAATTTTACAAAGTACATTAATTGATCAAAAAATATAACCAATTCATTAAGAGTAAATTGGTCATTTTATCTGTTCTATCATGTTCAGTTCTGTCTCACCAAACGCTGAACAATTGTTTTGTCATATCCAATTCTGTCTTACCAAACATATGTTTAAGGTTTTTGAGTTGTAAATTATGTGTGATGAAAAATCTGAAGTGAAAAATCAAAATTGTGCATCTTATGCATTTGAAAAAGAAAATATCTTATAAGTGAGATATGTTTATATGACACTTCTTAAAAATATCTCACATTTTATTTTGAAAATGTCGTTAAAAACTAGTTAGGATGTACAGATACATTCTAACATCTTATTGAAATACTTTTACATATGACATACAAATTGCAAGGGGGGGCCTGTTAGATTTTGAATGGGGTCTCATGCACGCCCTCAATCTTATTTTGCAAGGAAAAAAAACATTATGGGTACCCATTGACTGGAAATTGATGGGTGCTCTTACATATTAGAAAATACAATGAAAATCAACAAAAAAAAAACCAAAGAAGTCTTTCGAAATCAACAAAAAGAACAGAAAATGTCTCTCAAAATCAACCGAAAAAGACCTCGAAATCAGCCGAAAAACATAAAAAGTTCCGCAAAATCGTGGAATTCAGCTAAAAACACATCGAACGACTTTACATGCATTTGATCCACCTTAGAAATGCCTCCGCTCGAAAAGATATTGGGTTCGTCACTGCACAATTGTTTGACCTTATAAATCTAAGGCATTTAGACATACTTGATGTCATTTAAAATCAATTTGTTGCGGTACATCCTTATTTCCCTCTTTGTAGCGGGTGAGGGTGGGGGTGAGGGTGTAAACGAACCAATCGAATGAAGACTTGTTCGTGGTCATTCGTTTAACTTAAACAAACAAACACAAACATTAAATGAACGGAATTTTTTGTGTTCTTCATTCGTTAAGAAAATGTGTTTATTCGTGTTCGTTTATTAACGTAAATGAACGAACATAAACATATAAACGAACAAACACGAATATCTGAAAAGCAACCATCATTATTCATCATTTTGTTCCCAAAAAATAAATAATAAAATGAAAAACGATAAATAGGAGAGATCATGTCTAAAAAATGATAGATTTTAGGAAACATGATACTTTCCTTGATTTTAGAATTTGATAAGCAAAATCTTATCATCCCATGTGAAATCTATTAAATGATATATAAATTTAGATTTGAAATCAAAATCTAGGATTCTCTTAAAATCATTATATTTAATCTTATAAACTTAAACAAGATTTTAACTAAATCCATTATGTTTTAACGAGCATAAAACTATTTTTTCAACAAGTCAAAAGATCATGGATCTCAGGGACTATGAAGGACCCGAGAGGTTTTATGTATCCGCTCAACTGACTTTTGTAATTAGAACGTTTTTTTGGTGGTACGAAAAATGCAAACCTTAAACTGTGAAATGTGCTCCACGAGATATGAAAATACAAGAAATATCAACCAAAAAACCAAAAAAAAATACCTCAAAATCCCTTGAAATCAACCAAAAAATCAAAAAAAAAAAAATCTTCCAAAATCAACTAAAAAATCGGAAAAATCTGTTGAAATCAACCAAAAAAACTGGAAAAAAAAATCCTCGGAAATGGTAGAATTCAGCTAAAAACACATCGGACTTACACCTAAACCGTAGTCTTCTGTCTTGCTCAAAAGGTCGATTCCATTCGAAAATATAGATCTTACTCCCAAATCAAGACAATTGACTTTTCATTGAATCAAATCGTACCGACTTTTCAAAAGAATCAAAACTGTAACTTTACAGACCTTTCATTCACCTTACAAAAAACACCCATGACCCACTCTAACACATATCCTAGATCCACATTATTAGATTTAATTAAAACCATATTTAAAAACCTATATAACTTTATATTTGTTGGAAAGATGATGAAAGTAGCAAGGTTCTAAAAGAAAAAAAAGGGTAATATTTTTTGAGGGGACAAAGTTGTAAAAAGTGTTAAGAAGCATATGCACATGCAAATTGGCTATCTTTACCAACTCAATCACTCTATCCATCTTCACAACTCTTTCCCTATTTATACACCAAATGGCCCCCCTCCTCTTCATCACCCCCATACTTCTTCTACACCACTTTTCCCACTTCATAAAACCACCACTATTTGTTCTCAAAATCCTCTTTTGATCATAAATTCTTGCAAAAAAACCTCCCTTTTATCATAATTTCTTGCAAGAAAGGAAATCCTTTCTTTTTTGGTGGGTATTGGTTTGCTTGCTATATAAAGAGTTAAGATGATGGAATCAGAGAAAAGGGTTTCTTTATTTGGAGACAATGTGGATCTCATAGATGCGTCGTTCTCGACGTACCTAAACGACAATGCGACGATGCTTAAACTTACTCAACCGTTGCAAGTCAACGCGAAAAAGAAGGTGGAAGATGGAGAAATCGGGATTTTTGGGGCCGAAAAGTACTTCAAGGGTGCCATGGATGAACAACTTCCAAGAACTCCTAAGCTCATCCAGCCTGCAAACGTGAACCCACAAGCGAAAGATGAAGACCCGGCTAAACCGAAAGGTGAATCGGGTACTCGGAGTGTTCGGTCTGAATCGAGTTGGAACAGTCGGAGCGGTTTGTTGGTTAATAACGGTGGGAATCAAAGAGTTCATAGGTCTAGAAGGGAGAAAAGTAGCACGGTTAAAAGCTTACTGGCCTCCCTTGGTTGCAACTGTAACGATAAGGCTTCGGTTACGATCACCGAAAACCGGGTTCATGTTGTGAAACCACCAGCGAAATCCAGTGATTTTGACGACAAGAAAAGAGATGATTGTTTCGCTTTTCCGGTGTTGAATGCTCGTGTGGCGGTTAAAGCCGCTATACCCGAAGATGCCGAAGGGGACGTTACTCGCATTAAAGCAAGGCGGAACTCTTCAGAGGTTTTCAGTTCTCCGATTTTGGAGAACAGGAAGAAATCTTTTAGCTTGGAGAGGAAACTAACCATGTTGAACTGGGATGGAGTGACTCCGAGAGCCGAAAACATCGGTATTTCGAATAACGCGGAGGGCAACGATGCAGCTAGTGATGCAAGCTCAGATTTATTCGAGATCGAGACCTTCTCAACTAACGGGAATAACTCGTTTCTTGCTCGACAAGTTTCGAACGGGAGGTCAAGCAACGCAACGCTCCCGAACGGGTACGCCTCGAGCGAGGCAAGCATTGCATGGAGTGTCGTTACAGCCAGCGTCACCGGTTTCTCGATCATATCCGATTACGAGGATACGAGGGCATTCAAGACTCATAACATGGAGAGGATGATCAAAGGTACCAGTATTCTTTCCGGGTGTAACAGTCATAAATCAGTGAGAGTTGCCGGTGAACACTTGGTGGTAAGCGGCGGTGATAAGGCGGGCGTTACGGTCGGCAACACCACGAAAGAGCGGTGCCGGTTGGATTCTGTTGTGCCGGTTGTGAAGTTCCAGGCGGAGACCAAGCCAATGAGTTCACATTCTCCACGTGCTTCACACCACTTGTACATTCAACAGCAATAGAGAGTTGTACATTTGTGTGTCCACATATCAGTTGGATTGTTGATAGATTTTATTCCCAAAGTAAAATGTGTTACGCAGATATTTCAGTTGAAGATGAGTTTCATTATGATGGCATAAATGATGGAAATCGAATAAAATAGTCAATCTTATGCCTTATTAATCAAATTTATTTTTTAGTCGCATTTCAGTCTTTTATCAAAATAGTCAATTTATATACAAATGTTTAACGCATTTGTGTAAAGATGGATTTCGGGAAGGAAAAAAAATCCTTACCTAAAATATATATACATTTTCATTTTTTTCAATCTGAAAATCGAGTTTACGTAAATGCGTAAGACATTTACGTAAACTCTTGCTAAAATGGAAATTCAATTGAAACTAAAAAGTGAAGTTGGTCGGAAGGATTGACTATTTTGGTCAGTTTCCCGGTAAATAACATAACTCTGCCACAGTATGTACAAATCTTTTAGGGTGCATCTTAGCATCTAGTATGTAGACCGGACTGTACAAGATTGGACTGGGTGTGCGAGAATGAGGTAGACGAGTAAAAAATATATGCAGCGTTTTTTAACTTGACATGAGTAGCTTAGTAAAATTAGTAATCTTGTTTCATCCCCTTGTTCCACCTAATTTAGTGTCCCACGCTGTCGTTTCATGTCATGTCCTGTCTGAATCTAAATGTCGCACCAAAGTGGGACAAGTTTTTTTTCTGTCATGTCTCGTTTTATCCCAAATAACAAACACATCCTTGTTGCACAAGGTACAATTTTTTTGTAGAATATAGAGATACGGGTTATTCTAAATGAACCTCTCACATCATATGGCTAAATAAAGCCTTCCTACCAATTCCGGGATATCACACACATCATCATCAAGTTTATCCTTTTACATTTTCCAATACATAGTTTGACTAAAAAAAAAGATGCATTCAACAACACCCAAAGATAAACATCTACAGAAGTAGTTGAATCTCCTAATCAATCATCAAGTCATCAACCACATTGATTTGTGCAACAATGGTCCCAACCATTATTGTAAAGCTAAAACCTAACTCTTTTGACACAACCCGCATACATTCATCTTCGTTACATAGATTCTTCGTATATCTTTGCATATATACGAAGAAAAACCCGACAATAAATGAAAACAAGAAAACCCAATCAGGGTTCATGATGATTGGATACATAGAGGTTGTTTAGATTGTTTTTTCATTAAATCCTATATGGATAAAGTTGTCTGGGTGGATTAATCCATCTATATAGATTAAGAAGATTTTTGTTTGGAAGACCTTTTTTCATAGATGGAAGGGACGGGTTTGGAAAATAAAAAAAAACTTGGCTTTCTGTATAAAGCTCACCTCTAGAAACTTATTGAATAAACTAATTTATATATCATTAAGTCACTACCAAACAGTTACATATACCTGACCAATAAGCCGTCTCGTTAAGCTGCTAACAAACATGCCCATACTTTGGCCTGTTTTACAACCAAACCAAGGGCGTAGAAAGGCATAAAGAATAGAAATTATAGTAGGAAATGATTGGCATATGATTTAGTGAAGTGAATCATATGAAGTTAAACAGAGACCATACTGCCAGATTCAAGAGTAGAACAATAATTGTAGCCCCCAGCACTGTGGGATGAGAATAATCAAGAACAAGAAACAAAATCTAAAGCAAAATCTTCCTTCATCCAGGACCACTTTGGTTTTGACGTTATCAAGTAGAATCCCATCACTAACTGCTTGAATTCCAACAAAATAAACAGTCTAGATATGGATATGGTATCCAATGAGAGTGTAATGCTAATGGTAATGTTGCACAAAAGAATTTTATGTAAAATGATTTTGAAAAAGAATGGGACATTTATCTACTACCACCCGTCAATTTCCGGTCTTTAAATAGCCAAAAATAAGGTATTTCGTCAGTGGTGAACTAAAAACAATCAAGAAAGTGGTCCCTGATGGAAACTCGTGTTAATTCGAAAGTGAAACATGGATGTTTCTATATATCTGCAAGATGATACAAAGATAATGTTTTTATCCACCAAAAGGTTGTCGAATTTGGATGTTCCTGAAGAAGATGCAAAGATAATGTTTTTATCCATAAAAAAATGTCTAATTTTGGGACATTCCTAAGAAAGATGCACATGTGAAATCTATAAGAACATCAATCATTCTTTTTTACGGATCTTTGTGACTGAAATTTTGTCTCTGCAGGGGGGTAAAAGGCAGAGGGATGAATATGGGTACTCTAGTTTTTGTAGTAAATTTACAAGACAATAAATTTGAATATGTGTGTATATGCATGTAGGGTCAAGTTCAGAGGGAAAACCGCAAAAAATAAAAAACTGAGAAACACTCTAGTAATCATTCGTCTGGACAGTATGCACGTTTGCATGCAAGTAATTTGTATGCAATTTGTTCTGTTTGCACATGTGCATAACATATATACGTGCATAACAACCAAGAAACAACTTCAATTACCTGTATATATATGAGCATACCATCCAGATGAATGGTTACCAAAGTGTTCCTCATTTTTTTATTTTTTTTTTGTTTTCCCTTGAACCTCCCTCTATGCATGTATATGGAAAAATAATTGCCCTGGAAAAAAACATTCCATCATGGAACCGAATGTCTTTTTGCCATGAATTACACAGATAAACTTAAAATCAAACAAACCCCGTATATCCCACTCGAAATTAAGGCACAAAAGCATAAACACATGATTGAAATTTTTGAGAACTTGTATTGTAAATGACAATTTCTCTCCCCTTAATGTTTTTTTGTAGCCAAGACAAAAGTAATAATGCTACCAAGTGAAAATTGTGTTTTGACATCTCTCGTCCACATTTATGTTGACCCGACCCTTTTCCAGTCAATAGTTCGTGAACAAGGTTATCAATTATATAAAATATGGCAAGATAGTAAAGTGTAGAGAGTGGATGATACCGGGTGGTGGATGATGCAATCTTTTATCTCCAATGAATGAATGATAGGCAAAGATGAATGTTGAAACATCTTCCTGCAGTTATTAGTCCTCCTGATCATAACATCAACACAGCTCATATAGTTAAAGCCTGTAACTTTCCATTTGGAAATTTAGGACCACTAGCCATTTATATGATTGAAGTTGATGGTGTAGAATTGTACGAATAATGATTTGACTACATGCTCTAGTAACATGCAAAATGATTATGGGGAGAGAGATTTTACCAGCAAAACTATTGAAAGTAGGGAACAGGTAGGGAAGACCGTAAAAAGACCTGTAGCCGTAGGTAGTCATTTGACCCACTGGCATCACTCGTTCTTAAATAGTAGTTGGCTGAATGGAGTTAACACAGAGGTGTTCGTATCCCAAAATAAGGGCCTGTTCATTAGCAGCTTAATGAGCTTAATGGACTCATAGCTTATTTGCTCAATTATACGTGACTGTTAAGTAGTGGCTTAATGATATAGAAAGTGGCTTATTCAGTAAGCTTCAAGGGGGGAGCCTTATGCACAAAGCCAAGATTCTCCAAACCTGCCATTCCCAATTAAAAAACATGCTAATTCTATCTATGAAAATCCACTCCCAAACAAAAACCTTCCCGGTCCATACAGAAAGATTAATTCACACATATAGCTTGATCCATACAAGACTTGATGGAAAACCAACCAAACAGCCCCTAAATAACTTGAGTTAAAATATGTGTAGTAACTCCCTTTGACAACCTGTCCGACATCGATAGAAAATAATATTTTGTGAGCTCCTATAAGCTTTAAGTTGTGAGCTACTAATAACTTCCACCATAATTTAAAGTTGATTAAGAAGTTATTTGGCCAATCTACTGCCTTGAGTTTCAAATGTTACTATGGTATTAGAACAAATTGCCTCTTGAGGTGTAGTGAGTTGTGTATATGATGCATCTCTTGGGATTGATTCTAGGTGTTACAAAAGTTAGCTATGATGATGAATATGATGCAACTTTACTTAAATAGGTGGATGGGTTACTTATACCGTTGTACTCTTAAGTCTTTAAATAGTGTCTCCTTTATCTGCCTCTCTCACTGCCATCTCCCGCCAATCTCAGTCTCTCAGGTGGTCCACAAACAACAAGACGACCATCCTTTACCGACACCTGCACCAGCCCACCATTGTCTCCCTATTATGATATATTGTAGCTTTATTTCCTTCTCATATAGTAATAGTTTTTTCTCCAATGTACACACAAAAGACAGATGGGAAAGAGACATTTGATCCAGAGAATTCCATCCCATCCCTTCCCAGACCTCCATGATGCCATCCCATTAGCAGGATCAAAACAAAAACAAACCCAGTAAGAGGCTGTTTGGTTGGTTTTTCATTGAGCCTTGTATGGATAAAGCTGTCTGTGTGGATTAATCTGTCTGTATGGATTGGGAAGGTTTTTGTTTTGGAGGATTTTTTCATAGATGCAAGGTGCATGTTCTTTAATTGGGAGGGACAGGTTTGGAAAAAAACTTGGCTTTCTACATAAAGCTCCCTCCTAAAAGCTTACAGAATAAGCCGCTTTCTATATCATTAAGCCACTACCAAACAGTCATGTATAGCTCACCAAATAAGCTGTGAATCCCATTAGGCTCATTAAGCTGCTAACAAACAGGCCCTAAGTGGCTGTGTCTCACCTAGAGGTGGGGGTATGAGGTGGGATGTATGCAGACCCGATCTCTACCTCGACAGTAGAGGGGCTTTTTCCCTGAAGACCACCAGGTTGTGCAATGTGTGCGAAAAGAAGTAGTAAAGCTTGTGCAAAGAAAATGCAAAGAAAGAACACAACTTGAATATACGTAAGGCAATGCTATAAAATGGAAATGGGTTAGAAGTAAGCAACAACAACCAAAACAGACAGACAAACAACATAAAAATATAGACAGAATCAGGAACAAGAAAGCATACTCAAAATGGGAATAACTAACAGGATCAAAACATAAAGTCCTATATGAGCAACCCCAGTAACAATCCAGACACCATGTGAACCAAACGAATTGTAATCGGCTAATTGCAGCTTAAGCTTTGGTTGCTAAGGGCCTGTTTGTTAGCAGCTTAATGGGAGTCACAGCTTATTCGATCAACCATATATGAAAGTTTGGTAGTGACTTACTTATATAGAAAATGGCTTATTCAATAACCTTCTACGTGGGAAGCTTTATGCAGAAAGCCAAGTTTCTTCCGAACCAGCACCTCCCAATTAAAAAACACGGTCCTTCCACCTATGAAAAGCCATCCCAAACAAAACCTTCCCGACCTATATAGATAGAATAATCCACACAGACATATTTATCCATACGGGACTTGATGAAAAACCAACCAAACAGCCCCTAAGAAGACTCATAGAGCAATTTTAGGCAATAAGAACCGCAAAAAGCGGAACAAAGTAGGCAAGAGAAATGACACAAAGCAAAGTATTGTAATGCCAGCATGTTACATACACTAGCTGAGTTTTAAGTTGGACAACACTTACAAGCCCTCAGAAAGGGGAATCTATTATAATATGTATATACAAAAAATACATACTAGGTAAGTAGTAGATATAAACTGAACATTTATGACAATGACAGACAAATAATTGCAAAACTTAAAATTGATACCAATTTACTGGCACATATTTTGACCAATAACCGACAATATGTGAATTTCATCAATCATCCTTGTCAAATTTTGTAGGCTTTACTTCGAAACCCCCACCCGCTCTCTTTTCGAGTGTGTAAGGCATGTAAGTCCCAAGGATTTTATCCCACATGATAAAGAAAGGCTGTGAGAAGTTGTATTTAGCGCCATAAAGCTGGTGGTGTACATCATGATAGGCAGAGTTGTTCCGAAAAAAGACATGGAAAGGATTCCCCGGAAGCCACAATCCACAATGGTCATCAACTGTTTTAATGGTTGCAAAGGAGAAGAAGAAGATAGAGGCCCAAGGGGACATGCCTGAAAGGAGGAAAGCCAGAGCTCCACCAATTGTGTCCAGGAGAAGCCCCTCTACTGGATGGTTATAAAGAGCCCCAAAAGCATATGGAACAACAAGCCGATGATGTAGTGAATGAATATGTCGGTACAAGAACTTGTTTTGATGCATTAAACGATGCATAAAGTACTGCCAAGTATCTAAGACCACCATAGCAGTAAAGAATTGTCTAACAATATCGACCAGGGAATGCCCTTTACTGTTGGCAGCATCAGCATCATTACTGGTAACCTGAGTCAGAAAAAAGGAAAACACATTATAATTCATTCAAACTATTGACAACAATTGCAAGTACAAAATGCACACCAGTCTTACATTCACATTACTGCAAGAATGCAATTAATAGTTCTTTGAGAACAATTGGAAATTCTAAATGCATGCCAACCTTACATTAGGCAGAGCCCCATATCACAAAGCAGGTGGTCAATTGAAGAAAATATTCGAATTTCTCACCAAAACCCCATCTTCACAAGCTCAGTAATATCATATCAGTAGAATTGAAAGCTAGATACAACTTGGAATTTCCATGATTGCTACAAGTGAAACAATAACATTTCAAATTCTTTGTTCCGAAACAAAAAAAACCGAGTTATAATATTTACAGAAGTATTATGCCCTTGTTGTTTCCTAAACCATCATCCATCAACGGTTTCCTCTCCTATTAACATTCACCCAATGACCCAATGATATTTACACAAAAGTATTCCAAAAGGCCTCATGAATGCAAGAAAATAATATTAAGCGAATAAGCTGCAAGACCTTGTCCAATTTAGAACATGGGCCAGGTTATCTAAATCCTTTGTCATGACACAAATACAAATTTACATGTTTACTCAAGGAGATTTTCCTATTCAACATATGCATTCTGCCTATTTAAATTCCATGCCACTTCATCCATTAGCAACTCTCACATAAATATTATGTTTTTGCTACGTGTCAAATTCCCACTTCATATATCAAAGAATACTTCCTTGCTAAATGATACACTGAAAAATGGGTGTCAAATAATATATACGAAGACGGCATAAAGCATGTAAAAAATAATACGGGCTAAAATACATAATTAAACCATTATTCCAAACATTAAGATGTGACACCAAGTACTTGCTTGTATATGTTCTAATCATCCAAAGGTATAAAACTAGGCTGAGACCAATGATGCCAATCTTCTGAAATAAAATTCGCAAGGATTTCTGAGGCCTATGCAACACCCAAAAATACTCGAAGAGTTCCAACAAAGAAAACGGGTTGGAGGAGGGCACGATATAGTGTTCATTATAGTGCCAAATGAGGAAATCAAGTTGCTATTATGTTTCCCCATCATTTCCAAGTAGAATCCAGAACTGAGTTGAGAGAAAAAATAAGAAAGAACGTGCAGTAAAGCAAAGCATAGTCGCAGAAACATTCCAGCAATTTTGAGGCAGCGGTGCAAGCAGACAAGATAGACCAACATATTGAGGTTAGTTTCATTTCATGTGATTTATAAACTGAGATCCATGCATGTCAATACTTTGACTTATATTTTGCAATGATGCACGCCCATACTAAATATTTTACATATGTTCTATTATTCAAGTATGATGTTATTATGATAGCATGAACATTGGTATGAAAAGCATGAGATGCTTGATCATGATTTGTGAATACGTGGACTTTTGAGATGTTACGCATAAAATGTTTTATACTTGTGGGTCATATGTTCGAATGATGTATGATGCATGGACCAGTACATGTATGGAAAGGAATACCTTTTACTGGTTGATTAATTTTTGACACACACAGTACTCGACGTTGATAACTTTAATTATGATTGATGTGATTTGCATGCATGCACATGACAATGTTATACACACTAACATTCAGATTGTTATGACATGATGTGGAGTTTTATTATGATGTTGAAATGATTAACGAGAAATGTTCTGAAAACCATGAACTAGTTCGGGTTTAAGCTAACTATTAGCATGTATCGTAGGAGACGTCAAGGTTGGAAGTTCCAAGGGAATGGAGAAGGTCTAGCTAGACTTTCTAAGACGTTATTTGATATTTATGAATGATGCTGAATTGTACTCGACTTTATGTTTGATGTATTATTTCCAAGAAAAGGCGACCGGTGTACCAATGCATGATGCTTACACAACTAGAACTGGCACTAATAAGTTCAGATTTAAGGGGCCAGAAGTGGAGATTTGATGGAAATATTTTATGATTAGAAGATGCAAATCTTTGTTAACAGCCACAGATGGAATATACAAGAAGAGAATATTGGCGCATAAGTGGAAGGTGGGTAGCTAGGGCTTTCAAGCTTCGCACATCACACCTCGAGATCTCTATGATATTATAACGCCCACATGACCGCAAATTCATCACCTCATTAGAGCAACTGAGTCCTCAGTCACTGCACAATTATGATTCATTGACCGGCAATTCTATGCATCCAAAAGGTAATAGCTAAGAGGAAACTCAACGCTACATCTCTATATACACAGAATGATAGACTAATTAAACTTAGAAACAAAAAAATTGAGAGGTTCACATACTTAAATGAACAGCTGAAGCACCTAATACCATTAAATAGCAACCGATTTTGAAGTAATCAATTAACTCTCTGAATTATTGTGATTCCTAACCACTTGATGCTAATTGCATACCAAATCACAGCTAGTAACTTGTCACTTTACCAAAAAAACCAATGATCGACACTTCTGTTACTCACGTTATCTATATTGATACTTCTATCAAAATTATCAGGTATCCCCAAGAGCAACCTTGTTCTGGACGCTAGTAGACTAGCTTCTTCCACTACAACTGATTGAGGTAGATACAATTTACCATCCAGTTCATCCACCAGCTACTTGTCATCAAAGAGAATCACACATATAGGAAGATGCTAACGTATGATTTATCATCTACTATCGCTTTCATAAGAACGTATAAGTTATGTAATGACCTAACTCAAACAACATAAGATGCACAAAAACTATATCACATAATTACAGAAATTCTCCTAAGGACGAAAATAAGCATACCGTGAAAAGAATGATGGCGACGACAGCTTGAAGAGCTTGTTGGAGAAGAACCCCTTTGACGACGGTTCTCCTAGGAACCAAATTCTTACAATCTTCATCTTGCTTTGAATGCAACCGATAATTCTCTAGAGATTCAAACAACATGTAAAATCCAGAATACAGCCAGTACACCACAAGTGGCACAATCGTCCCCAACAATTCATCCGATACATGAAATCCCATGGGAAAACTGGAAAAATACCGCGAAATTCAGAGAGACGGGATTAGGATTGAAGATACTAGCAGCGGCAAAAGTGAGATGTAATTAACGTGATCGATTTGAGAGCTTGAAGGTAGGGTTCCAACAGTGACAAGTTTCAGTAGAAGAAGATTATGATTGCTCGTTGAAACCAATCGAAGGAAAAATATCAACGTTATGGCTTTCTCATGAGGGTGGGGGGAATGATACAGTGTGTTAAGCTTACCGTGGTCACCTGGTGGTCTAGACTCTAGAGTGTTGACGGTACGATTGTTCGATCAACGGAGGGGGAAGCAAAAACTTGATTAACTTCCTCTAAATAAAGATTTAAATGAATATCGTCTATTAAAAAAAAAAACCTTTTTTATACTCAAATAAATTTATTATTTAATTATTATCACAAAAATTATATTATTAAAATATTTAATTTTTTAAATAAAAAAATATTTCTTTTCTTATATATTTAATTTCAAAAATTCTCAATTGTACAAAATAAAAAATAATTTCTATTTCATGTGTAATCATTTTCGAGAGTTCTCTACAATTTCAAAATTTCGTCATCTCTTTCATACTTTCTCCATCTTTTAGAAGGTCTTGAGGAATCTATTAGGACAAAAATCCTAAAATATGCATTTTGGATAAATTTTCGGAGATGCTCTAAGTGCATGTATGTTAACAGTGGTTTGATGATATAGAAAATGACTTGTTTACTAAGTTTTTAAATGAGAGCTTTATGTAGAAAATCGGGCTATGTTCCTTCCATTTATGAAAAAATCATTCCAAGCAAAAACCTTTCAAGTCTATATAGACAAATTAATTCAAAAAGACAGGTTTATCCATACAAGACTTAATGGAAAACCAACTACACAACCCCGAATCATCTCCAATCATACTCTCTACATTTAAATTAATACGGAAAGTTATTTGTCTAGGATTTAATGTTGTAGGTCTTTTTTATAAAGGTTACTTCAATCATGTTCTCTACATTATGATATGTTTTTAAGCATTGTCTGTACTTTAATAGACGTGAATTATCTTTCTTAATTATAAATAACGTACATATATTGTAAGAAGCTTCCCATGCGTGTGCATATCCCATTTCGGTTGGGAAGGAAAACTAAGGTCGATTTATGGACCATATACCTTCTTTATCAAATGCATTTTAAACCTGTGAGTCCAAGTATGGACAAAACGGACAATATGTGGGATAGAAATTAAGAAATTTTCTATTGATTAACCTGGACATCCAACCTGCAATGCGAGCCGACTAAACTCAGGACGACCACCTGCTTTGCAGATAGCCCCGAGTCACCGCATTTGAACCTCCGTGACCACATGGGGTTTTTTATTCCTCTTTAGATTTGAATCTGAGACCTTCTGGTACTTTTAACTTATTTAGACCAAAAACCATTGGAACCAGTCCAGCTAAGGTTGCTCAAAAACCCAACCTGATGTCTAATGGAGCTGTAAAATTTTCAAACCGTAGATATTTAATTGGAATCGAGTTACGGTCATTAGAACCAACTCAACCTGTTGAATATGGTATTCTTTTATTTATTGTGTTTAATGTGACTGTTACGTTTGTATTAATATGTATATTAGACAATCACACAATCACATACTCTCTTCATATACATATATTTTCGATCTCTATATAGATCTTCGCATATATGTTTAGTAAACACGAGCATATATATATATATATATATGCAAATTGAGATAGATATTTGAATATGATATAATTAAGAAATTGTATTAATAAGTTATATCAAATGATTGATGATGGAAAAAAATTATGAGTAGAGAAAATAACATATTCATAGTAACAAACATAGAAGAATATGTGGATGTACAAAAATATCAATCCGACCAACCTACATAGTTGAATAGAGGTTTTTCAAACTACAAACATTACATTAAATTGTTTAAATGTCTTTTAACCAATGAACACCAATACCTGAAAACGGTTTTTGGACATCATGTTATGTTATCTATTTCAAAACTAGTAATAGTAAGCAAATGATAGACCCAATGGGCCTTAAAACATTTGGGCCCAGCAGATATAAAAGACTAAAACCCTAGTGGTATTTCCTCAGTTCATCTCACGGCTCTTGCAGGTTGATTACGCGCGTCGTCTCAATTTTTGCAGGTTTGAACATCATTTCCTTCTCGCATTCAATAATACATTCCAATCCTTGTTTCTGTGTGTACCTTTCATATATCCAGTGCCATTCATGAATTAGGACTACGATTTTGGTCTCGTTTAGCATGATCATTTAGCCATTTATATCGCCATAGCCATTAGAATTTGTGTTATCTGCATCAATTTTAATCGATTTCTCCTTGAGATGGGGATCAAATCGGTATATATATCATTTTCTAATAGATATTTATTGTGTTACCTATGTGATTTTGCTTTATATATATATATATGATCTTGTATGATGTTGTAAGGTTCTTTTCTGGTACATGTTGTGGTTATGAAGCTGGATTTAGAAGATCTGCAATTCATAAAATGTGTATTACTGTGCTGTAAGCATTTGCAATAAGACCAAATACTTGAGGATGTTAGTGTGATTTTCTCTCATCTCTGTACATTGTTGTCTGGATTTGTTTTCTGGAGGATTGAAGTGTTTCTGAGTTGTGCTGAACCATATCATATTTTTAACATCAACTTAGGAAGCAGTTGAGAGAAAGAAGGATAGAGTTGCAAGCGGTCACTGCATTGACTTTGGACGATGGTGCATGTTCCGTTTTACCGCAACTGTAACTCCTCTTACCCTTTTAATACGCTGTTATATCTTTACATATGCATACTTGACACAAATATGTGTATAGATAAATAGATAGATCATGCTTTGGTTATATTCTAATTTTATAGGTTAGCTTTCAGGAGGTTGTTTTCAAATATTTTCATGAACCACTTACTCATGTTGTTGCTTAGGTGTCTTTAGGTTTTAATTTTTTGACATATGTAAACATAACTTGTTTTAAGTAGTTAAGTGCGAGTGATACTATAAACTTGCTTTCTAACCTGCTAATGTAGACATGCAGTCATATTTATGGTCTGTGAGGTTCACTTTCCGAGCCTTGTGAGTTTATTGACAACTATTCCAGGATCATAGAGAACGAAATTTGATGCGACTATATGACACACTTTTACTTTGATACCAATTTTAAAAAAAATTGATTTTTTCAACAAAACCCAAAACTACTGTTTTCATTTTAGCCTTATGGACTTGCTAGCATACTGTTAGTTTATTTTGAAATTGTGATGATGTCAGAATAGGGTACATGATGCTCAATTTTTTAATTACAAGGTTGCTGGAAAGATGTGTGTTATTTTTAGTATCAAAGACCATTCCATTTGACGTGTCTATATGGTTCTGCCTAGTCTTCATGCGAATTTCTAATGAAACCAAGTGCTAAAATCTATCGGAAGATCTAAGATGCTTTCTTTTTAAGTTTATGTATTTTTTTTTACTATCCAATAAGTTTTGACCATAACTAAGCACCAAAATCTGTTTAGATGGGAAGACGTTCAAGAAGCCCCGCCGTCCTTATGAGAAGGAGCGATTGGATGCTGAGTTGAAGCTTGTTGGAGAATATGGTCTTCGATGCAAAAGGGAGCTTTGGAGGGTGCAGTATGCTCTCAGCTGCATTCGTAATGCTGCAAGAATGCTTCTTACTCTTGAAGAGAAGGACCCACGTAGGATATTCGAGGGTGAAGCACTTATGAGGAGGATGAACAGGTACGGGCTGTTGGATGAGAGCCAGAACAAGCTGGATTACGTGCTGGCCCTGACTGTCGAGAACTTTCTTGAACGTCGCCTCCAAACACTGGTGTTCAAAACTGGTATGGCCAAATCTATCCACCATGCCAGAGTGCTCATCAAGCAGAGGCACATCAGGTATATTTAAGTTCAGATAAGATTATTTCAATCGTTCTTTACTTGCATGATTTCTATGTGTGTTCGTCTTTTCGTCAGTAAGATATTTTTAAAGTGTCATATAAGCAGCTAGTTGAGTCTTGGATGAATGTTCAACTCTTAATTAATTCGAGCATTGCTGTTCTGTGCATCTGATTTGCTGGTAGCACTAAGTTGCAAATTAAATTTAACGAAATTTATTCAGGAAATTTTTGTTACCGTGCCATCTAGGTTGGCTTTGTTGTTTTAACCTTGCATTTCAGGTGCATTTGATAGGTAGATGGGATTAGACAGTCGAGAGTGAGACAGGGGAGTAAAAGAATTATGAAAGATATTAGGGTTTAATTTGGGGAAGTTGACTGCAATAGCCATTCTGAACCCCCCCCCCCCCCCTACTTTATAGTCATCTTTTCAACCTCACGACTGATTTAGTTGGAGATTATGCAAAGTCGCATTAGGCAACTTGCATAATCCACTTTTTCCCATTAAAATGATAAGAAAAAATGGGATTCACTAAGTGGCAAAAAAGTTCTAACTTGCGTCTTGCACATGGACTGCCACATACGTAATTCTATTTTTTCTTATTATTTTAATGGGAAAAGTGTATTATGCAAGTTGCGCAATGCACTAGCATAATTTCCTGCTAAATTGGTCATTAGGTTGAAAAGGTGGCTATAAAGTGAATAATGGGGGTCAGAATAGCTATTTCAGTCAATATCCCTTTAATTTGACATGGGTATTCTAGTAATTTACCAATATCATGTCTATCTTCTTGATTTTTGTTCCACATATTTTGGTGTGACAAAAAATAAAAACATTTTTGTGTCACTCGGTCCATTGTCCCATCAATCCGGGGATAACTAGTATTTCATGGTCATATGTTTGTTTTCTTGGTTGTAATGTTTCCATCATTTCTAACATCTGAATTGCATACATGTGTTTGTTTTACGGTATATTCATGATCTACTCGATGGTGATTGTGGTTACAGGGTAGGAAGGCAAGTAGTGAACGTTCCATCGTTCATGGTGAGAGTAGACTCACAGAAGCACATTGATTTCTCTCTTACAAGTCCGTTTGGAGGTGGGCGACCTGGCAGAGTGAAGCGAAAGAACCAGAAAGCCGCCGCAAAGAAGGCATCAGGTGGGGACGCTGATGAAGATGACGAAGAATGAGGTTAGTCAGTCATCTTCTACATTCGTTATTTAATCTTTTCCAGTTCTTTATCATATGAAAATTTGAACTTATATCGCATATATAAGAGTAGGGTAGTCGATTATGCATCAAGGTCTTGAAGTGTTATGTAATTCGGGTAAACATGAGATAACGGATTCATGCGCTTTCTGGTTTACTAGAAAACTTGACGGATCAACTACACTTGCATGTTTGGTTGAACCATGGAATAAGAAAAGAGAAATTGACAGAAATAGCCATTTTCCACGGATCGATTCATCTCTTAACCATTTCTCTCCTATTTTCACTGAAAAGTCGCTACCTCAGCAAGTGCTTGGGGAGGGGCCAAGAAAATAACAGGTATAAGTGTAATTTAAAACGGTGTAAAATGAACCCATGCAAAGGTCCAAACTGTCCCCTCGGCCAATGGAATTATGATCGTTGATTTGGCTTTTTTTAGATCATCATTGCCTCCTTCCACAAGTGAATAAAAGCGAAGTTTAATTTTTCTAACTTAAGAATGCCCTCTGGATAACGCTTGCATCCTTTGTATTACCGCGGATGTTGTCACCGAGTTAGTTGATGCTTATTCCCTAGATACCGTCCCGAAAATTGTGGCAAAGGGACTTATAGAGGTATTGATAAAATAGTAAAAAATGAGAGAGATGAGTAGGAGAACAAATTAATTGGATGATAGTTGAATGAATAACTGAATGGTTAATTGGATGTTGGTCAGTTCGGTTGGTTTTGGACTGCTATCGAAGAACCAACTAATCCAAATTGGATCTTGAAATTTTCAATCCGATCCAATCCAATCATGATCGTTAGGTTCCAATTGAAACGGTTAACTTTCTACACACCCCTACGAATACCTGAATAAAAAGTGTACATAAATATATAAACATTGATTATTTACTTATAAAAACTGCAACCATTTTATCCATGTACAAAAAAAATCCATGTGGTTCAAGGGAAACTAGGAAAAAACAAAAGCTAATTGTCTAATGTGAGATATTTTTCAAGAAAAATTCGAGTATTGCACCATTACATTGTCAAAGACCTTCCAGCCTAGTGGTAAAGTCTTGGGCATGGCATAGTCATGAACCCAAGTTCGAGCCCTGGGAGAGGAGTGTTGGCGACATTTAAGTGGGGCCATGTTTAGCCTCCAAATTTGCCGGGGATTAGTCGGGCTTTGGCCCGGACACCCTTACCAAAAAAAAAAAAACATTGTCTAATGTGTTATTTTTTAAATGCATCATTATATTAACAAAAATTTATAGAGAAAAAGAATACAAGGTCTGCAAGAAGTAGTACCGACCGATCGATTAAACCAAAGAAGACGAGTAAAACCAAAGCACAACAAGAAAGCGGCCAACAAAAACTCCAAGCGCCTACACCACAGAGAGACTCAAAAAACAACATAAACAACCCCTAAAAAAAACTGCAAAAGCAAAACAAGCCTGTCATGAAAACGAAAGGGCACAGCCGGAAAATGGTTGCAAATCACAGTAGACCCAACGTCGAATGTGTTGTTAAAAATATTTTTTTTATTATAAACTATTGTCTTCGTGTTTAATTATCTTAAAATTTAAGTTTATAATTTATCATTATAAACTTATAATATTTTAGAAGTCTATGTTTGAATTTTGAATTTTTATGAAATTAATTGATATTCAATGGATAAACACGTTAGTCTTTTATTGTTACGAAATAATACTCCATCAATTTTAGATTTTTCTTATATAATATGATAATTTGCATTAGTTTTCCATTTTGTTGTATTACATGTATTTACAACCATATATATATATATAGAGGTGGATGTTCAAACGAGAACACCTTCATTTTACGAGAATGCGAAAACACTCTTATCATATTTGATAATATGCTTATGATTTGTCTAAAAAAAATTCCATTGTTTTGAGTTTTTAAAATATTTAATAACTTAAAAGACTAATATACCCCTAAATGAAAAATATGTATCTCATTATAAGAAGACTAATTTGGTAATTTCACTTTCAATTTAACTACCTTAACTTTCAATCTACCTAACTCTTAGAGACATTTATTATATTCTTTTCATATTTCCACCTTGTGAAAGAGTTATTTCTTAGTTCTTTTTTCTCAAAAATTTTAAAATATTTTTGTTGGTTATATTTATTGTCTTTCATTATTATATTATGTTGTTTTTAAATTTTTGGAAAACTTTGCTCTAACAGCTATGTTAAACTCATTAAAACAGAGAGGAAAAAAAATAGAGAACAGAGAATTATATCCAATTCAGAAGGAAAAAAACATAACAAATCTGTTAAAAATGTTCCAAACAGATAAAGCTTTAAATATTGTAATTAATTTTTGTATGAAATCAAAATCATAATTAGTAGTAGTGCTCTTTAGTTGGTTTGGCACCATTGATAGTGTTAATTAATATAAAAGCAAGTGCTAATCATCATTAAGACTTTATTACCCTTTTATTTTAATTTTATATCAACTTCCTAAATTTTTATATAATATAAATATTCATTTTTGGACTTTTAAGATTTATAAAATATTATTCGTTAAATAAAATAAGTAAAAAACAATTTAGTGTCATTATTACAAATTTCCTTAATAATGTTATGTCTTTGATTTGACATATAGTATAACAAAAGTTTCTAACCAATATTTTAAGGGGAATGTTATACGTAATATTTTATGTCAGAATCAGATTAAATCATGTATAAAAAATGTAAAAAGTAAGTGTTGGTGTTAATATATGTAAGAATAAATTAGTAAACAAGGGTGTACTTAGCCCACCCTATTTTAAATATCTTATAGCATCTTCAATAGCTTCTCCAAAATGGAGATAATGAGATTTTGAGTCAATATTTTGTTCCAACAGCTTCTCCAAAAATATATCCAAATTGGAGAAATTAGGAGAGAAAAGGTTCTTTTTTTTTCCTTCAAATATGAAGATAACCCTAAAAATGATTATCAAGTGAGACCATCGATAGGAAATTTTGAAAATAAATATTTAGATTAAAAAAATAATATTTTAATATTATAATCAATGTTGGATCCTATAAAACGAGGAAACTATTGGAGACGAATGTAAAAGTGTTTTTAACCACAAGGGTGGTGTATGATTGGTTTGAGCTTGACTCCAAATGTTAAAAGTATCAGAAGGTCCCAGGTTCATATACAAGAAAGAATAAAAATTCTCATGTGGCCACAGAGGTTCAAATGCGATTACTCTGGGCTATCTGCAAAGCAGGTGGTCGTCTTGGGATTAGTCGGCTCGCATATCGGGTTGGATATCCAGGTTAATAAAAAAAGTGTTTTTGGAGATTTTAACTTTTGATTCTCCATTTTGGAAATTTTTTGGATAATCTGTTGGAGATGTTCTTATAATAAATAAAGGGTAATGTTATATGCACCCCTTTATGTTAGAATCAGATTAAATCATGTATTTTAAATGTAAAAAATAAATATTGGTGTATGTGAAGAAAAAATTAGTGAAAAATGGTGCATTTTGTAATATTAGGGATTCATTTAGTTCACCTTAAATAAATAGTTTATGTATCTCTTGATACAATTATTTTTCATCAAAAAGGAAAATCCAGCTTTATAATTTTAACATAAATATGGGAACAACGACATGTAACGATGCCATGTAAGCAGAAAAATAAAAGGGAAATCGATCAAAATGACCAGTTTGTATATAATACATTAACAAAATGACCATTTTTCGGGGTGTACTCACAAAATGGACATAAAAGGGGAATTGGCCTATGAAGGGCGATTTTGGAATTTTTGGTACGGATGGGTTTCACATGAATACCATTTAGGGAACAAAAATATGATTTTGTAAGACTTGTCATGGAAATCGCCCTTATTTCGTGCAAATCACCCCCGAGAGCGATTTTGACTTTTATTCTGTCATGTAGTAGAGACATAATATGAGACAACTTTTTGTTTAATTTGACAAATCAATGACGACGTGACAATACATATGGGGATATTTTTATAGGGATTTTGTCTTATTTAAGACGAAATGTAGTATATATAACTCTTGTAATATTCTCTATAAAAATGTAGTTTATGTTTTAAAGTACTCTCTTCTACTTTCACAACCCTTAACACAAATTTGAAATCATGTCAAGGTGATAATGATTTCATCTTTGTTTAAAGTGGTGGTTCGTCCCAGACAATAAATGGTGTTATAGAGTATTATGTCGTTAGAAGCATCCAAGCGTGTATTACATTTGCCTTCGACAATAACACATTCTGGTTTGGTTAAACATGTGAAAAAATTAATTTTACATAATGGTTTTAGGTTATTTTATTAAAATATTTTGACATGTGAGTTATTTGAGTTAGGTGACGACGTCGATGTGGTGATGTTCGTTGCTCATCAAAATTTATCACAAACTTTGAAATTATTTGTAGTCGCCAATGGTGGAAGTCAATCAAGTGTCATAATCCATCAACCAAATATGTTTTTCTCCGGCTGTGGTGGTGCAAACTCATACGATACTTTTGGAATCAATCAATCAAACATGTATTTTCTACCCTGGTAGCTGTGGTGGAAATCCTTAGGGTTCTATCAGAATCAATCAATCAGGTTATCTCTTCCCTAGTGGTAATGGAGGAATTCCATATTTTGTGTCGAAATAAATCACCCGAATAGTTTCTTCTCCCATGGTAGCGATGAAAATCCATATTTTGTCATACCTACAATATTGTCATAATCAAACCGGTAGTTTATTTTCTGGTTGTGGTTGCCATAATTTAACAACATGGTGTTGCCTTAAATAAGACAAAATACCAATCAAAATCACCCCCTATGTATTGTCACGCCATTATTGAGTTATCAAATACAACAAAAAATTGCGTCATAGAATGGCTACATTACAGGACAAAATAGAAGTCAAAATCACCCCGGGGTTGATTTGCATACAATGGGGACGATTTACATAAGATGTCTTTCAAAAATCATATTTTTGTTCCCAAAATAGTATGCATGGGTCCTTCGTAAATCAACAACATGGGAACAAATTCAGTTTTACTGGACATTAAAAATAATCAAATGTCATAATATATTGATTATATGATTTAAGTTTCTGGTATCAAACAGTAAATTGTTTTATCTAAAACTGTTATAATCAACTTATGGAACATTTTTGATGTCTTAATAAGTTTTTTTTTTAAATCTAAAATAAAGTACCATAATAACTATTTTACAAAGCAATTTTGATAAATATCCTATG